AAGTGCCAATTTGCAACAAAGAAAAAATCAAGTAGCACATTTTCCCACGTGACAACTTGATTTTTGTTGGCTTCGTCGGTTGGTGGAGGGTGCATAGCTCCAATATAAATGTTACACCTACACGATCTTGAATCATAATATTGATCATGAACACCTACGGGTATATATGAAGTTACACCCACATGTATTTAAGTCAATAAAGTAGGCATCAGTATAGGAGCATAGAGCAATGGGAATGAAAAAAATGAATCTTCAATTCTGCCACGCACGATTCGCTACGTGCATTAAGAATATGAAGTAATCGACTTTAATATCGGTTACTTGTTCGATCACCATTCAAACGCAGCATCACTCTTGGACCAATCAATATAAACTACGGCATTCTTTCTTGATATGCGTATGCCTGATGTATGTCCAACTTATTTTGCACCGTACGTAGTCAACCATGCCAATTGGAGGTGCGGGGGAAGGACGACAAACGAAACAATCTGCACGTGGATGCAGACCAACAACTAAAATTTCACATTGGGGTGGTCAAGCCCAGATAACCGTGTCAGGAGCAGCGGATTGTATGGCTGTGATGTCTCCTTCGTAATCGTGGATCGGGTATTGTGTAGTAAACTGTTGTTCTGGTATGTTCTGGGTGACCACAGTCGCACACAGGAGGGTTTTTCAATTTTCCATCTGGGCATCAGGTACCCGAATTTGCCATGGTTCGTGGAAGATCAAAACCGGGGATCTTCTGCGAATACGTTATAAGGCCGCACTCATTACACACAAAGTGATCACCACAAGTGAACCACAATGACTTGCTGATCTCGTCAAAGAGCATAAGGGGCCGTCCATAAAAGACGTCACGCGATTTTGGACTCTTGGACCAATCAATATAAACTACGGCATTCTTTCTTGATATGCGTATGCCTGATGTATGTCCAACTTATTTTGCACCGTACGTAGTCAACCATGCCAATTGGAGGTGCGGGGGAAGGACGACAAACGAAACAATCTGCACGTGGATGCAGACCAACAACTAAAATTTCACATTGGGGTGGTCAAGCCCAGATAACCGTGTCAGGAGCAGCGGATTGTATGGCTGTGATGTCTCCTTCGTAATCGTGGATCGGGTATTGTGTAGTAAACTGTTGTTCTGGTATGTTCTGGGTGACCACAGTCGCACACAGGAGGGTTTTTCAATTTTCCATCTGGGCATCAGGTACCCGAATTTGCCATGGTTCGTGGAAGATCAAAACCGGGGATCTTCTGCGAATACGTTATAAGGCCGCACTCATTACACACAAGTGATCACCACAAGTGAACCACAATGACTTGCTGATCTCGTCAAAGAGCATAAGGGGCCGTCCATAAAAGACGTCACGCGATTTTGGACGATTTTTGACCCCCCCCCCAGACGTCACAAAGCTCTTGCCCCCCCCACCCCCCAAAATAAAACATGCTTCAAATGGCTTTAAACTATTGTCATTGTAGTGCGTATTTAATGTGGCGCTTCACTCTGATGTTGTAGGAGAAAACATTTATTAAAAGGTCTATTTAATAAAGTAGAACGTGTTGTCTATATTTATTTAAAAAATGCGCATTTTGATGTGACGTCACATTTCTCACCCCCCCCGCTCGTCACACATCGTCACAAATGTCTGACCCCCCCCCCTAGGTGCGTGACGTCATTTATGGACGGCCCCTAAACCATCACGCATCCTCGCAGCGGCTTTTGGCTGCGAGCCATCGAACAAAGACGGTCACCGCATCACGCACTTTCAGATGCGCTTCTGCAGCCGTCTGGAACGCCGGTTCCTTCCAATATTGTGAAGCCACTGGAGCTATGCAGTTTAAAATCTACATAAAAAATGTCAATTTAATATCTACATTAGAAACTAATTTATTTATAACTGCCCTTTGGATTGTTTGTTGTCCGTCCCCCGCACATCCGATTGGCTACGTACAGTCCGAAAGAAATTCGACATACATAGATAGCTGTCTTATATAAAGTGTACATGCCCTAATGTGGTTAGGTTAGATCTCTCCGACAAACATCTAAAGTTGTTTGGCAAACTTGTTGTATGATGTTTTGTTACTTAAGATGTATTACATACATACGTTGGGTCTTTCACAATGTGTTTTTTAGCTCTTTTGTGCTCTGCATTGACGACTTTCTAACGAATACATTTGGAAAGAGTACTTTGAGAAGTTGCTAAATGGTGAAAACCCAAGATGCGTAATGGTTGAGAAACATCAAATAATTGAAGTAGTTGCAGATACATTAACCAGAGGCTCTGGGGAGCATGACACATTAAAAGATAGTGGGGCCAGATGAGATTCCAATTGACGTGTTTAAATTAATGAGAGAAAATGGTGCTGAAGTATTAATGGGGCTGTTTGGGAAAAAATGGATGGAAAAGAAAATGCTGTATCCGTGGAGAGAGAGTAAATTGGTTCCCATCTTTAACGGGAAAGGTCACGTACACGAGTGTGGTAACTACAGAGGAATAGCATTGATGAGTCACATCATGCAACTCTGGGAAAGGATAATAGAAAGGAGACTGAGGAAGCTGGTGGATATTGGTGAGTCAGGTTAGATTCATACAGGGAAGGTCAACAATGGATGCAATCTTTGCACGTATTGATGTAGAAGTTCTAAGAGAAGAAACGGGACATGTATATGGTGTTCATTGATCTAGAGAAAGCGTACGAAAGGGTGCCTCCAGGGGTTATTTGGTGATTTATTAGAACAGATATTCCTGAGGTATATGTCCAGCTGATCCAGGATATGTATGAAGGAGGATAAATGCATATGTGCGAAGCAGCCGTGGGGTGTTGGAGAGTTTTCAAGTCAAAGCAGGAGTGAAGCCAGGTTCTGCCCTGAGCCCTTTCCTGTTCACCCTGGTGCTGGACACACTAACGAGATATATTCAGAGACAGCCCTCGTGGTGTATGCTGATTGCAGACGATATTGTGCTATGCGGTGGAAGCCGACGGGTAGTGGAAGATGATTTGAAGATTTGGGTGCAAAATATTAAAGGGAATGGGTTGAAGATCAGTCAGATAGTACATGGTGGAAATTATCAGTGGAAATACTGCAGGATCGCAAATTGGAAGTGACCAGTTAACGAAGACGAACGAGTATAAGTACCTGTGCTGATGGACCACTAGGAGATATGAGAACATGAACAATGGCTGGATGGCTTAAATTGCGAGAGATTACTGGAGTAGTGTGTGATAAGAGGGTTCCATTATGAGACCTCCTTTGCCAGTAGCAAGATATAGTAATAGGTTTTCACCCTTTTAACTGGCAACAAAACTGACACCTTTATACAAGGGATCATGTTTGCATTAACCGCAACACTTGCGGTCAATTTTGTTGCCAGTTAAAAGGGTAAGAACCTATTACTAAGAGGGTTCCAGTTTGGTTAAAGGGAAAAGTGGACAAGGTGGTGCTGTTGTATGGGGTCGAGTGCTGGGACACAATAAAGAGGGAGGACCAAGCTATGGTATGCACAAAGATGAGGACGTTACGGTGGATGTTGAGTTTGATAAGGAAGGACAGGGTCAGAAACGAAGAAGTGAGAGGAAGACTCAAGGTGGGGAGAAATCACAGAGAAGATGGGAGAGCATCTACACTATGGGAACCTCATTTGCCAGTAAAAATATAATTGGTTTTTGTACCCTTCTATCTGGCAACAAAACTGACACCTTTTTACAAGGAGTCATGTTTGCATAGACCGCAATACCTGCAGTCATAATACAAACAAAAGAACATAACTCTGCACATTATGCAAACATGACTCCTTGTATAAGTATAGCCCGTAAAAACAAAGTTTTTCACTATAAATCCTTTATATGCGTGGCAGCGAACTTAATATAAATATAAAGGATTTAAAAATATATTCGCCTGTGGAGGACGCGGGGATCGATCCCGCGACCTTTGGCATGGGAAGCGAGGGAGCTACCAACTGCGCTACTCCGCCACGGCCTGTGAAGGGGTTACGCTCTGGGCTCCTACACTGTGACGTTCAGCCAAAGCGATGAATGAGTTCTATTTGAATATATGTAAAATCATTTTTTTTGACTAAAAAGTGTAAAATTTTGGGAATTTTTTTTCACGAACATTAATTGTCTGGCACAACGAGTCTGTGTGGAAAATGTCAGCTCGATTGGATCACGGGAAGTGGGTTGGAAAACGACCGAAAGATTTGCACGGTCCTAAGCAAGCAAGCAAACTTAATATAAAGGATTTAAAAAAGGTGTCAGTTTTGTTGCCAGATAGAAGGGTAAAAAACCAATTATCAAGATGGGAGAGATAAGGCTGGTTTGGTTCGGTCATGTGGAGAGACAACAATAAAATGGTATGGGCCAGAAGGTGGAAGGAAATAGATCAAGAGGAAGGCAGAATAGGACGTGGGCGATGTGGTGCGATCGGACATGGTGGCCAGAGGAGCACAAAGAGAGAAGGCTGGCAAAGACAGTGGGACAAACGCGTGGAAGAAGTAGAATACATCTTCTTGGTTCTTTTGGTAAAGTCACGTAGAAGGGAAGCAATAAAATAATAAAAATAAAACATTAAATTCTCACGACGTTTCGGCCACAACGCAAGCAGCCGTCCTCAGGTGTGGCCGAAACGTCGTGAGAATAATTTCATTATGTTTTATTTTTATTATTTTATTACTTCCCTTCTACGTGACTTTACCGAAAGAACCAAGAAGATGAATTCCCTGCAGTCACGAAAGCTTTAAATCAAAATTTAAGTAGAATACATTTGGCCGCCATCTTACGTGGGGGTGGGAGAGGGTTGGTGAGATCTTCCACCCCCACATAAGATGGCGGCAGAGTGGGAGGGAGGTGAGTCTCCCCCTCCTCCACCAACATGGAGGGGGAGGTGGGGGGGAGGTGGGGGGAGGGGGGGGAGGTGGGGGGGAGGTGGGGGAGGTGGGGGGGAACCCACCCCTCGATGACGTCACCCGCGTACGGCCACAGTCTCCCTAGGCAAGATGGCCGCCGCGGCTTCATGGTGAAGTGAGGACCCCTGCAACGGCGCGCCGACTCGTCCAGACGGGAGTTTTCGAACACGCGAGACGCTTCACACGAACCCGCCTCGAAAGCCTCCGTACAACGCGGCTTCATCGGGACCAGCGTACCCTCGGTAATGTACCATGTTCAAATAAAAATCACGCTGCCGCTTATTTACATCGCACTGACGCGAAAAGTGGCCGCGAACTCGGTGGGAGGCCTTGCTTCCCAAGCAGTGGATTAGCCACGGTTCATAACAACAACAACAACGCTCGTTGCTATTTGCTGTAACTCTCTTCTTGTTTAATGAACGAGATAGCTCCCGTGGGCCGCGTGTCGTAAGTTGCTGGCACGGATAACGCTCGAACACAGCAGCAGATGGATGTTAGTTTATTCATCGACGGCAATTCCTGGGTAGACTTCAATTGAATTGTGTTGCGACCCTCGATTCGTACAGCATGGATTGTGATGGTCGCATCGGTGTGCGATGTTGAGAGGTCGATGTGTTACATTGCCGGTTGAATGTTTTGAGTTTGACTGTAACGAACTTCGTTCGCACCCTACGTAACCCACCGTGCTAATCGGTTGACTACGTCGTTGATAGGGTCTGAATTGTTCACGTGCTTAACATTAGGTACGGAAATGGTTTGCGAATGTTATTTCATATTGGGGTGCTGCGGATACTATACATTCAAGCTACATAGTGTAGTTGAAAAGTAAGTCAGTTCATTTGATGTGCTACACGGATGACCCCGCTCAGCCCGTTCCCTGGCTATTCTACAAGTGAGATCTGTGGTGCGTGAGTTCAGCAGCAATACAAACATCAAGATTGGCGGACGAGTGCAGGGTCTACACTATGGGGACCTCATTTGCCAGTAAAAATATGATAATTGGTTCTTTACCCTTCTATCTGGCAACAAAACTGACACCTTTTTGCAAGGAGTCATGTTTGCATAGACCGCAATACCTGCAGTCATAATACAAACAAAAGAACATAACTCTGATAATGTGCACTGTCCTTGAAGTTGATTGGTCCACACCCGAGACAGCTTTCCTTCGAGCCTAGTCTCATATGGGTTGGACCAGATGACGCCAAAAGGCGCACAACTCAAGGACAATGCACCATCAGAGTATGAGAGCTCGGGGCAAGCATCTACACTATGGGGACCTCATTTGCCAGTAAAAATATGATAATTGGTTCTTTACCCTTCTATCTGGCAACAAAACTGACACCTTTTTGCAAGGAGTCATGTTTGCATAGACCGCAATACCTGCAGTCATAATACAAACAAAAGAACATAACTCTGATAATGTGCACTGTCCTTGAAGTTGATTGGTTGTGCGCCTTTTGGCGTCATCTGGTCCAACCCATATGAGACTAGGCTCGAAGGAAAGCTGTCTCGGGTGTGGACCAATCAACTTCAAGGACAGTGCACATTATCAGAGTTATGTTCTTTTGTTTGTATTATGACTGCAGGTATTGCGGTCTATGCAAACATGACTCCTTGCAAAAAGGTGTCAGTTTTGTTGCCAGATAGAAGGGTAAAGAACCAATTATCATATTTTTACTGGCAAATGAGGTCCCCATAGTGTAGATGCTTGCCCCGAGCTCTCATACTCTGATGGTGCATTGTCCTTGAGTTGTGCGCCTTTTGGCGTCATCTGGTCCAACCCATATGAGACTAGGCTCGAAGGAAAGCTGTCTCGGGTGTGGACCAATCAACTTCAAGGACAGTGCACATTATCAGAGTTATGTTCTTTTGTTTGTATTATGACTGCAGGTATTGCGGTCTATGCAAACATGACTCCTTGCAAAAAGGTGTCAGTTTTGTTGCCAGATAGAAGGGTAAAGAACCAATTATCATATTTTTACTGGCAAATGAGGTCCCCATAGTGTAGATGCTTGCCCCGAGCTCTCATACTCTGATGGTGCATTGTCCTTGAGTTGTGCGCCTTTTGGCGTCATCTGGTCCAACCCATATGAGACTAGGCTCGAAGGAAAGCTGACTCGGGTGTGGACCAATCAACTTCAAGGACAGTGCACATTATCAGAGTTATGTTCTTTTGTTTGTATTATGACTGCAGGTATTGCGGTCTATGCAAACATGACTCCTTGCAAAAAGGTGTCAGTTTTGTTGCCAGATAGAAGGGTAAAGAACCAATTATCATATTTTTACTGGCAAATGAGGTCCCCATAGTGTAGATGCTTGCCCCGAGCTCTCATACTCTGATGGTGCATTGTCCTTGAGTTGTGCGCCTTTTGGCGTCATCTGGTCCAACCCATATGAGACTAGGCTCGAAGGAAAGCTGTCTCGGGTGTGGACCAATCAACTTCAAGGACAGTGCACATTATCAGAGTTATGTTCTTTTGTTTGTATTATGACTGCAGGTATTGCGGTCTATGCAAACATGACTTCTTGCAAAAAGGTGTCAGTTTTGTTGCCAGATAGAAGGGTAAAGAACCAATTATCATATTTTTACTGGCAAATGAGGTCCCCATAGTGTAGATGCTTGCCCCGAGCTCTCATACTCTGATGGTGCATTGTCCTTGAGTTGTGCGCCTTTTGGCGTCATCTGGTCCAACCCATATGAGACTAGGCTCGAAGGAAAGCTGTCTCGGGTGTGGACCAATCAACTTCAAGGACAGTGCACATTATCAGAGTTATGTTCTTTTGTTTGTATTATGACTGCAGGTATTGCGGTCTATGCAAACATGACTCCTTGCAAAAAGGTGTCAGTTTTGTTGCCAGATAGAAGGGTAAAGAACCAATTATCATGTTTTTACTGGCAAATGAGGTCCCCATAGTGTAGATGCTTGCCCCGAGCTCTCATACTCTGATGGTGCATTGTCCTTGAGTTGTGCGCCTTTTGGCGTCATCTGGTCCAACCCATATGAGACTAGGCTCGAAGGAAAGCTGTCTCGGGTGTGGACCAATCAACTTCAAGGACAGTGCACATCAGAGTTATGTTCTTTTGTTTGTATTATGACTGCAGGTATTGCGGTCTATGCAAACATGACTCCTTGCAAAAAGGTGTCAGTTTTGTTGCCAGATAGAAGGGTAAAGAACCCATTATCGAGTGCAGGGTCCTTAAAGAATATTGCACCACAAGTAGAATGGTAATTAATGGTTCAGCCGTGTAACGTCTTGCTAACGCTACTGTTTCATTAGACCTCCTTTGCCAGTACCAAAATATAATAATAGGGTTTTTCTCCTTTTTTTCTGGCAACAAAACTGAAACCTTTTTACAAGGATTCAGGTCTGCATTAACCACAATACTTGCAGTCTAATGCAAACAAAAAACACACTATGATAATATATGCATTTTTCTTGAAACTCATTGGTCCACACCAAGGGACCAATCAGTTTCAAGGACAATGCATATATTATCATTGTGTGTTTTTTGTTTGCATTTGACTGCAAGTATTGTGGTTAATGCAGACATAAATCCTTGTAAACAGGTTTCAGTTTTGTTGCCAAAAAAAAGGGGAAAAACCCTATTATTATAACGATACTGTTGTATATATTGAAGACGATGTACCGTAAACAAATCATGTTTTTGTATGTTCCAGATTGAAATATTCAACTTTCAAAATGCCCAAACGCAGGGCCCTTTCATCTCCCAACGTCCCATCAGAGAAAAAATTCCCAAGAATAAACAATGATTCAGCTTCCTCCTCTTCCTCTGTGTCTTCTGATTCAGATAGTGATGAGAATGATCAAAACACATCATATAGACTTTTAAAACCTACATTTACTTTTGAACAGTCTTCTGGATATGTAAAAAAATACAACTGTGAAGAGAAATTAGATCCATCAGTCGTTTGTGTCAGTAAACATGCTAATGATTCCAGTTGTTCATCACATACTAGCACATTAGCCGCGGTCTGCCAAAATAAACCCTTTGCAGAGGCAATTTCAGAACCAGCTTTTCCGCAAAATGCACCATTGGAAAGTGGCAGTGGTGAATATAAAACACCTGGTTTTCCAGCTGAAACAACTACTTGTTTACAAATAGAGGACTCTACAGCTTTAGGCTCGGTGAGTTGTATTACTACCAAGTGTGAGCCCATATCATTAGAAACAGTGCAAGATAGCAGCACACTTTGCTCCACCAAAGAGACGGCAGAGGATGAGAGGAGTGCTTGTACATCTCCAGCAGTGTGTGAGCCTGAAACGTTGGCCATGGTTGTTAAACTTGAAACATTGGAGAATGAAGATAATGCTTCTACCTCGAAAAGCCCGAACCAATATGTGGCTGAATTAACGTCAAAAGATGTGCAAAAGGAAGAAGAAGATAAGCTGGAAATTGTTATTGTTGAAGATACTTATCTAGAAAAGAAGCTCGAGGATGACGCACAGCAACACAATCTGACTGCAGTAAATGTTAAAAACATTTTGCATGTAAGTATAAGTTATTGATGTTTTTACAAGTGTAATTGACGCTTACACTTAAATTGTACGTTTGCTATCGGAGTTCTTATTGTGCATGTATAATATAACGGATGTCTGATGTCCTTTTCAGGAAGTCATCACGAATGAGCATGTCATTGCTATGATGAGAGCAGCCTTGAATGACGTTGATGAACCCCCAATTTTTGTAAGTAAATAATCGAGCATACGACGAGAACATTTTTGCCTAAATCTTCACGTTTATTACATTACAATATTCAACTTAAAGCAGTAGTTTCATCGTACCTATCTTAAGTAATATGTAAGTGCAGTTTAGTCAGTTTGACTGGTGATAGCATGTTAATAAAAAAAAATGTGTTTGATAGATTTTGGAGGTACTGCATTATAGAAACATTTAAATCAACTTGGAAAATCTATGGGACCTATTTGCGAGTGTTAAGTTATTGAATGATAAAAAAAAGCTTTACCCCTGCTGGCATAAATACACATGTTCAGAAGATATTCATTAAATACCTTGATAATGTCTTTTTGATCTAACACTGATGAGATAAAGCCATACAAGAGGCTGTCTCTGGTGTAGTCCGATACATGTCAGGGGCAATGTATACCTTACGAAAGCATTAACATTTTTTCGACCAAATGTTTGTGTGGTTGATATTGACTTTATACCTTGTAATAGGCGTCTATTTGGTGTTTAGACATCTTAACATCTGTAGTTATGCCACATCGACCAGCCCCCCTCATTAATATTGGTGAGCATGTGCCGTTCTCCAAATGGACACCTCCCCCACCCCTATTAATAATCATGAGCGGGTGACGTCACTCAATATCGGCGTACACCCCCCTCATTAATAATCATGATCAGGTGATATCAATCTACATGGAGCACCCTCCCCCCTCATTAATAATCAGGAGCACGTGACGTCATTACACATCGAACAGCCCCCCTCATTAATAATCATGAGCAGGTGACGTCTTCCAAATGGACACCCCCCCTCATTATTACCTACTATAATGAGCCAACAATGTCTGTGCGCAACGATCGTGACGTCACTCCACGTCGACCAGCCCCCCTCATTAATAATCATGAACAGGTGACATCCTCCACATGGACCCCCTCATTAATAATCATGAGCCGGTGACGTCACTCCACACGGAGCATCCTTCCCCCTCATTAATAATCATGAACTGGTGACATCACTCCACATCGAACAGCCCCCTCATTAATAATCATGAACAGGTGACGTCCTCCAAATGGACACCCCCCCCCCCCCATTCATAATAATTAGCGGCTGACGTCACTCCACATGGGGAGCCAAGGCGCATCCTGCCCCCTCCTCGGCGTCAACTGACAACCCTCACGACAAAGGCAGAACCCTCTCTGTGACGCTGTCGAGACATCGAAGTAAAAAGGACGTCATGATGAACAAGGGATTATAACCTTAAAATGAAATAGGTCTATGTCACCGCACCCTTACAAACTGCACACGCATTAATGCAATGAATATCACGTTCGCGGTCTGCTTTTCACTTGCAAGTTTCAGATTTACTGCAATACACCCGTCCTTGGACGGGCAAAAGGCTCGTTACCAATCATTACAGACATTGAGGCTATAAAAAGCAACATGGTCAATTCAGAATGAATAAAATACATTCCACCCCCTCTGAATAACCAATATGGTACCCTGAGAAAGATGTGCATCAGACAGTCACACCTGCACAGTTGGCCTGTGAAAGTGTGCCAGTGACCAATTGTCACGCTTCTCATTTTTCCAGTTGCTTGATGTAATCGCAAGCAATCAAAGATTGGTTTGTGACCATCCATAACTAGTGAGGTCGTGCATTGGATAAAAAGTATAAGAACCCAACTTTACTTTTTTTTGCCTGTCATTTCGATTATCATTTACGTTTTAACTGGCAGAAATTTAGACTTAACAATTCTTGGTCAAGATAAGGAAGGGAAAAAAAAACTTTTCATATTGTGTTCTTCACGACAGAACACCAGCCACTATATAAACCACTGGTTTGGCTGAGATGGGAATATAGAGAAACGTCGCTTATTTGAAAGAGGTTCTCTTAACCTGCTGGAGTGGAAATTTCAACAGTTCCTGAAAATTCTGCTGTTTGGTCATGGTCCCATCTGCAGTTAATACCGGCATTTTTTTGTACATGTAAGTTGAATGCATAACTTACTCAGCTAACATGGAGAGCATTTTTATTTACTTCAGGAACCAAAGATGACACGCTCAAAAGCGAAAGAAGCTTCAGAAAAGGGCTCCGTAAGTATTTTAATTTTGTGTTATGTAATCGTTTTTCAGTATACTAAAGCAATCTATTCTTTGAATTTCTTCATTTAATTAAAACATTGTTTATTTAAGTTGAGTCATTTTAAAATAATTATGCATTTAGTCTTGTCCCTGTATTATGGTCATCACCAATTAAAATGGATGCATTTGTAACAAAGGCAAGATATTTTACACATTGGTGTGATTGCAACTATCTGATAATTACAAACGGTTATTTGAAAAGTCTTGTCCAGCCCAGCAATGCTGTGATTTGAGTTTCTAAACAAAGCTTTGCAAGGATAACCCATCTCTTCATTCTGGGCCAATTAAATAAGTACCACGTTTTGAGAAAGTAACAGTGGTCATTTCGTGGAGTAGCTGGTACCCATAATAAGAATGGAATTTCTGCCACTGGTTTTAGGACTGAAAATTAAGGCGAGTTCCCAACACTTTAATTTGACCAGAGGAGGTACTTGAATAATGAGTGGTCATCATGTAAATATAACTTCTATAAAGAAAAATATATTTTTTTAAACCATTTCCAAGAATAAATCAGCATGTGGAGTTGCGGTAACCATTTCAGTATTGCCTTATTATGGTTTAATTAAAAGCAATGCACAGTGTATATTTGTATTTTGCATCGTTCACACTCTTCATTATGTTTTGGAAGGTGTAGCGTTATTAATTGACACGCATTTTTGGATTGCTTTATAACAGGCTAGCTTTACTACCCGGCTTCGCTCAAGACTTGGATTCTTGTTTTAGATTAATATACGGCCTACGCGGAGGATGGGGGGGGGTGCGTAACGTCAGCAGGCACACTGCGTGACGCTTCCGCATGGGGGTGACATCACAGATGTGACATCACAGATGTGAAGTCACCGCTCGCTTGCCGTGTAAAACATATCCATTATTGTGCCCCCCCCAAAATACAAAAGTCTATTTTTATACTTTTTGCATTGTGTACTGTCTGGAAGCTACCCACATGCCAAATTTCAAGTTTGTTGCATGATGGGAAGTATGCTAAACATTTAGAACAGACAGATTCACAAATTTACCTTTTATACATATAGATGTGTGTAATGTGTGTAATGGGTAATAACTTATATACCTATATATTCTCTCTTTAAATTGTTGCATATAAGTAAACCAATTAATCTATGGTGTCTTTGTTTGGAAATTATTGTAATTATAGAAAAAAAATGTATACCAACTATTTTGACTCTTCTACAGCATATTATTTGTATTCTTGTGCCATTGTTTCAATATTCCATTGGATTTTTTGTGAAATGGGTGTGCTTCAGCAACCACAGTTTCTAGAGATTCCTCTTGAGGAAGAGGACTCATCCGATGAAGAATACCAACCAGAAGAAGAGGAAGATGACACAGCTGAGGAGGTCTGTATGAGAATATTTCTAATTGGACAGCATTGCTATGAATGCAGATGAAGCAAGTCTACAGTAAATTACTTTTTACGCCTTAATAATTCATATTACATTATAATTTTGGGTCTCATACAATATGTTCTTGTGGGTTATTTAGGTGCCACAGAGCAGTCCAGCGAATCACAACCCACATTTTTGAGGATTGCTAAATCGTGTCTCATACCTGCAATTTCATCGCACATATCATTAAAGAGTAACGAGTATTATTGCAATTACTGTAATACATTTGGTGGAGTGTTTAGCACTGTTCTTCACGTGCTGTTAACTCAATAACCTGAGTTTGATTTATAGCTACAGCTAATATGAGTGGTGAGTGATAACTGCTCTGGGGGACCCTCTTCAGCAACCCAAATTGAACAATGTGGTGCAGTGGGGTCAAACAACCCTCAAGATTGGTCCGAACTAATTAGATTCTCGCTAAGGGCTCGGTTGATTGGCAGAGAAGCAAGGACCTGGAATCTGATTGGACAGTGAGTGTGAAGGATGGAAACACGGCCAATTTGCAATGTTAATTGAGGGGTTGGTTAGAGACCTGTTTCATGGAAAGTTGTGGGATTGGCTAAGGGAAGGAAGACACCCTGGAATTTTGGAGAAGGTCGTGTTCTAATTTGAATTAGCAGTCCTTCCAGCACCTTTTCTATCCGAGACTACTTTCTACATGTATTGTAGGCATTAAAAAACAATTTTCGTCAGTGAATAGAAATGTCTTTACTGTGTCATGCCCACGTACATTCATATTAAATGCATTGTGAAATTCCATTATGTACTAACTTGTGTCAGTACTCATAAGTACATGTCATATGTATGTATGTAGAACTTATTTTGCACCTTACGTAGTAAACGATGCTAATTATTTGCTACAAATATCGTACGTAATGCATAAACTGAAATGTACACTCATAGCACATAAGACAATACTTGGAGTTTTACAAAGCTAACTGAATGCTAGTTTCCATCACCAATTTGTTTTGTTTCACAACTTCCTTAACAGAGCCTTCTGGAGAGTGATCTGGAGAATTCCCTGGTGGCTGAATGTGTTTCTCCAATCAGCCCTGGGCACCACCGGTTAAGGCGCAGCTCGTGTGTTTCTGATGTTGAGGATGAAGGCAGTACTGATGCACAGGTGATATTTCCACTTACATAGCTTACCATTACTGTTTATATATAATGAATACATGGAATGCTTAAATTGACACATGGTATGTTAACGTGCATGGTATATTGATGTTTTTTTAGTGGCATAAAAACAGATCATGAGAAGAATATGATAATATTGTTTTCAAATCTAGGATAAATTTATGTTTTCTAGGCTAATCTTTCAGAACTTTCTACAGAGGGAAATTAATTCAACATCGCACTTCAAAAATTAATACAATCAATTGCATTATTTATTGTTGAGGCAGTTGTAATTGTGGGAGTTATTACTGTTTTAATTGTAAATGCAGTATTGTGTTAGTAGTTAATTGCTATGGTACTTATGACTAGTATTAATGCTGTAATAAGCTCATTAATTTTGCTGTACTAATTAAATGCTCTCAGAATGATTACTGTTGTAATTGGTATGAAAGTTGATGGTAGTATTCCTGCTGTAGGAAGTAGTAATTACAGTCTTACTGGTTGTGACATCACAAGTTTTTGGTGATGGCATGGAGTGGATTGCCCATGGATGATGATGAATTATTTTATTTGATACCTACGTGACTTTACCGAAAGAACCAAATAGTAATTATTAGAACTTTAATTTTTAACACACTAAGCAATACCTTCCATGAAACGTAATTTAAAACCCAAGTAAACGTTTCACAATTCTTAAATAAGAATTACAGCCTTTTCAGTTTCTTCATGAAGTATTTTTTATCTAATAACATTCAACATGAAAATGTCGTATCATTGCATTTTATAACAGGTGATTTTGTAAGTGCAAATCATAGACAATTGTTTGTTTCTTGGACATGTGTTTGCTTTTCTCTTTAGTCAATCCAAGTTGAAGAACCACAACCACAACCCACAATTCAGAAGATCAGACACGTTAGCGCCATGGTTGTACCAATGGGGCCTCCACCTCCCCTCCCAGCAAAGGACAGCACTTTTATTGAGAAACTCAATGCTGTTGACGAAGAGTTGGCATTCAGCAGCATTGTTGGATATCAATATCGGGTTAGTATCACGTGATCGTGTAAATGTAAAATTGTATGATCATATTGTGTATTCTTTGCTGTTCACAAAAACAAGTAATTTCGTTCCAAATAATATTTACTTTTTTTTACCTTTGCCAATGTGCTGCTGTTAAGAATAACTGTTAGGTTATATATTCTTGGTTCTTTCGGTAAAGTCACCTGATGATGATTGCTTGTGTTGCAGTCGAAATGTCGTGAGAATTTTTTATTGTTTAATATTTTTATTATTTTATTATTTCTCTTCTACGTGACTTTACCAAAAGAACCAAGAATATGAATCCCTGCAGTCACGAAAGCTTTAAATAAAAATGTAACTGCTAGGTTATGAATTTAATTCACAGTAGCAGTGTGTGTGGAAGGTAAGCAAATGTTACTATGGTATTCTACCAGAACCAATGATATACCATGATATCTCCCTTTGTATTATTGCATTTGTTTACCCAGGAAAGCCTCGCTGAGTCTCATAACTCTGTTCTGTCAAGTTTTCACAGGGGGAGTCGATGATTGCGATCTATATTCAAATTGAGTAATGTGGGTTTACTCTTTCAAAGTTGGCCAATTTGGACCATGACGCCGGCACAGTGGCCTGCTCTGGCGTATGACGTCATGAGACCTCTCAAGTTCACTATGAAGCACACGGTGCATATTTTGAATATTACACCGGCAGTAATAACCATGGCGGTCGCTGAATTCGAACCATGAACCAGTGCGACAAGTGGTGAACGTGCTACCAAAATAACCATGTGTGAATAAACCTACCACAAAAGTCTTTCTTCAATGTGTATTATTATAATTGTCACAGACTTCTAATAAGCAGAATGTGGAAATTCATGTGACGTACGTATACCCTTTAAAAAAATGCTGTTGGTTCCACGGTTATTGTGCTGTAGATTTTTATCATAGCTCACTGGAATTGGTACTGCATATGCAGTGTCTGGGATGAATGGGTTAGATATTCAAGGACGAAGAATGCTGCTTTATGAAAGTAGCTTGATATAAATTTAAAACACAGTACTTAAATTGTGAAGTCTAATTACATGCAAGATATTAGTGAACCCTACTTGGATATTTTATTCAATTAAAATAAATCAGAATGTGTTACAGTGTATATCATTTAAATAGCATTTTTTATATTATTCTATCAAAATTGTTCCTAATTTTAATTGAAGAAAAGCAAAAAACCCACCGCTTTTATTATTTTCAATTTATTTTTATTTATAATTTTACATTTATTTGACTATTTTTATTGTGGGTTTTTTTGCTTTTATTATTTTCAATTTATCCTTTTTATTAAATTCGTATGATTTTTTAGTTTATTATTTTATATTAAAAAAAAATTATATTTACGTGACTTTACCGAAAGAACCAAGATTATGAGTCAGTGCAATTAAAGTGCTACCATGGTAGAATACTAATGTGCCCTGGCTGCTAGTGTTCAGTATTAAAAAGGTCCAGTGGGAAGTGTCCGAGGAAAAAATATGACCATATAATAAACTGAATGTGCTGTACATTGCTATGGGTGGTATGGTTAACAAAGAGATGAGACTATCATGTGATGACATTTCTACATGATGTCCCCATGCCAGCATTTCATCTCCTCAAGCTTTATGATTTTGCCTTTTATATGAGGCAAATGCATCTCCAGTGAATCATCGGTGGCCATGTTTTTGTATTTGTTTATTAGGGCGCAATGTACGATCGTTAATTTGTTTTCAACGTTTAACTTAAACGATTTGTCACTTTCGCTGTAAGAAGTTCACCACATTGGCCTTTAACGTGTGTCCACTTGACGTGCATATGAATCCTAATATGTCGATATCACTTTCTATTTTTTATATATTTACATCTGTTTGTGTTCATTACTCTCAATTCCTGCTGTCCTATATTTTACAAAACGTTCATGACACTGTCTTTTCATGTCTTCCTTTAGCCTGGCTCTCATACCCCTTTTTCCATTGGTACACCCGAGTTGAGCCGGTATCATAGGTTTTTCACTGGTTATGTTCTGTACTGAGCTAGAACCTGTCTCTCGGGGGCAAACAGGGCCAGGAGTAGGGCTAATGACACCCTTATTGCGTCTGACGTCAGCTGGCACGTATGTAGATGATGTGTGGGACTGCGTCACCACACATCACCTACATATGTCTCAACTAATTGCGTGTCAAGTTAATGGCGCATCTTGGCTTCTGCAGTGGAAAAACAACCAAGTCCTCTTGAACCACCACTTCTGGATGGCAAACCCCTTTGTAATATAAATATATAAGCCTACACTTAGTTTTGTTGTATGTTTTTCAGTGATTTATTTTAATAGTTTGTAAATGGCTGCTGGTGTTTATATGTTGGCAATACATGAAATGACATACCCCTCACAATGGGAATGGAATTTTCCACCAGTGGCTCAGGGCTGTAAAGAGTGACACCTCATGCTCATTGGAGTTGGAAACCACTTAAGACTTTTTTGAGTGCATTCATATGGAAATCCATAGCATTGTGCCTGTTTTAACTTTTTGAAATAATGTTTTTTTTATTGTTGCCATGTTCAGCCAGACGATGAAAACTTAATAGCATACCGCACACGCTCCAAGCGGACACTGAGGGACATGCCTATTGGGCAGCTAGAAGCAGAGCTGAATGCACCAGATATAACGCCAGATATGTACGAGCCGGCGGTTATGGAGGATGAAGATTGGAAGACTTGGCTGCATGGGCTTATGACAGACCCAGTAGATAATGCAGAAGGTAAGTCACTTGGTAATAAGTTTTGCAGTATGAGGTTTGATTAACGTCTTGGAATCAAGAATATGCAGAAGAAAAACATCTGTTGATAAATTGAAGGTGCCAGATTCCTGTTGAAAATATGCATCTCATTCTTGTGTGAATAAATAGACAGGAGTAGAGGCAAGGCAGTTGTCGTTTTTTCCTTAAGTGAGAGCGAACTTTGGCTATTCCAGGCACTTGAAAAGTCTTCGCTTGCTTTATTGTTGTAACAGGTTAAGCAGTGAAACACATTTTAGAATCCTGTGGCGATAAGACTGCCCTATAGATCCCTTGCCTGGTTCCGTGCCAGTTCAAACCCTCTTTTCACCATCTGTTGTAAGATTTGGCCATTGTACAAAATCGGCGGGGGAAAGTGTTTTTTGTCAAGTCGTGAATTAGGAGGCTAAATATTTATTTAGCTTTTTGCTTGTTTTGTTCCATATGACTTTGCAGGAAACAGTTTTGGTTTTGTGCTTTTATCTACTGTTAATCCCACTTCTCCCATATGAACCGTATTGCGGGACCCCGGGGTCCCGAATAAACTGAAGTAAAAATCGTAATTAATTTTTGGCTACTCCGTCCCACCGCGCACATAAACGCCGCGACCCACCTGGTGCAGATCATTCTGTTGTCATGTCGTCCAAGCGCAATGAGGACCAATGCGCAGAATAAACTTTGTTTAGCGCATTGTGTAGAGCTCGTCGAGAGGAATAGATTGCTGCATCTTTCGTCTTGAACAGACATAAAATGACGCCGTGACGCAGTTTATGCGCGAGCCGGGGGCTTATGGGACCCCGGGCGTCCCGCCATAAGGTTCTTATGTTATGGGCATAATACTTGTGTTGTGTGATAAAAGTACATTTACAAAAGTTACTGTGACTTGTCTTCCCCTTGTTCCCAAAACATTAAAATCTAAATCTGTGAATGTAATTTTAACGCTGTGTATTTTCAGGAACACAGTTAAAATTTGATACGTATTTTGTAAATCCAGGCCTAAATTAATTTAATTAAATTATACTTAATTTTTATTTGGTAATGCCACCCCCTTACAAAAGGTATTTCTTTGGGAAAATAAGCTTTATACAGTGCGGTTCGGCTTACGTGCTGTTGTTCAGGAACGCATGTCACGCGTTATGCGAGGGACTCCCATATGAGGTTTATATAAAATTAAACACCCTGTCCTTTAGTTGTGCTGAAATTCAAACGTAATTTTTTTTGGGATGTAAACCGACTCTTTTTCAGTTTAACACATAGACTCTTTTTATACAAATGCAAAAAAGACAAGAATATACTGGGTACAAAATGCCACACTGTCCTAATTTAATTTGTCTATTCTACTAATTAGTTTGAAAAAAATCAAGACATTCACAGCAAGTGTACTTCAGAACTATGTGTCACTCAAAGTTGCCTAAGCCACCAAACAATCCGTGCGATTTATGATTCAGTGTAACTTCTAAATTGTCCAAAGAATTCGACTAAAGCCACTTAAAACGAAGAACCTAAATGGAGTGAAACAAACTTCCCAAGCCATTCTGTGCAGCTTACGTTTACATTTTGTGCTTGATTGTCACTAGACAACGATGATGAAGAGGATGACCCAGAATACAATTTCCTGGAGGACCTTGATGAGCCTGATGTGGAGGACTTCAGGAATGATCGTTCTGTCCGGATAAGCAGTAAGTCTACTCACCTTCTACCTCACATTGGGACTTAAAGTGATGATTCTCCTCTTGAAATACATTTATTAGTAAGTCTACTCATTGTATAATTAGTCAGATCTTCCTTGGAAAAAATCTTAATCCTAATAGAGTCTCATTTGGCTGTACAAAAACGAATAATGTCATATCCTGAGTGTAGTTAGTGGCCCTTGGTTGTTTACAATAAGCCTTTGCTTGTAATTCATTCATGAAAAAATATCACTTCCTGTCAATGTGTCGTGAAAGGACTATGTGAATACACACAACCAGCTCATTATGAAACATGTTTTTGTCGGGATTAATGCTCGCTGACACATTCAAATGCAAATTATGTATTTACTCACTGCATAGATCTTTGTGAAAAAGAATTAAAGAGGCTGGTAGAAATTAAGACCTAGTCTATGATAAACAAGAAGTATTTGAGTTTGAGAATACAGTAATTAGTATGAATGTGATTTAAAAAATAAACAATTGTTTTGAAAATTTAAATTGTATGACTATATTTTATTAACTCTTTTATGTTCAGGACTTGGTTTCCTGATCTTAACATAGATGCGTTGAAATAAAATATATATTTTACAGTGCAGAGCGTGAAATGCAGATGTTTAAGTTTAGTTTAATGCTCTCCAAGAAATAAAGAACGGGACACTAACATTGTTCGAAAACAATTGTAAAATAATGAATGCTTAAACATTATAGAGAGTGGTGGTATCTTTAAAACTATACCGTTCATGTTGTATGTTACTATAGCATTTTTTGTTAGCTTGTTTTTATATATTGGTTGATAGAAGCTGTGTTTTTTTTGCAGAAAAGGAAGTCAATGAATTAATGGAAGAACTCTTTGAAACGGTGAGTTTAGTCTGTCTTTAAATGATCAAAATTCATGTTGCAGAATGAATAACACTACAATTGTGTGTAAGGTTACAAAATGAAGAAAAGGAATATGCAACCAAAACATTTTATTTTTCTTACCTTGTAAATATACTTACCAAGGTTGTGTGTCCTGGGTTGGTTGACAGCGATGAAGCAGCGAATATTTGAGGCCAATCAGCAGTGATCATTTTTTTTTAGTGTTCAATAGATGTTTCGTCTTGCAACCAAATTCAAGGTGGAATGAGCTTGTATTGTTTTATTCTATGCTGTGAAGAAGAGTTTCGTAATACATTTTTTTTTTAAATGTCATTCTTTGGACTAGACTGTAAAAATATGTGATATGACGGGTCACTGCCAGGTCTGGGCAAGGTCGGTCATGCTCTAGAGACCCCACCCCCTTGCCTTTCTATTTCTCTCATCCACAGCAGACATGATAGAGATGACGAGCACAACACACATTACAGATATGTGGGATAGTAATTCGCCCACGGTGTTTACGGATCCATTTTTTCTACTTTCTTTGATCAAGTTACGAAATAATTTTTGTAACGTTGGAGTGAATTTAGCTGCCTCCCATCACCTGTATCATCTCCGATTAGCACAGTTGGCTATGTAGTGCGAAATAAGTTCTACATACATACACCTGCATACATGTACTAATTAAAAAGCTTTCTTACAGATTTTAAATAGATAGAACATAATGCAAATACAAAAAACAGGGTCAGAATGCAGTCAGCCAGCTGTGTCGGTTAGGGTTTAAAATAGTCCACACTTTGTCGACCGACAGACTACTGAACATTTCAGCAAATCTTCTGTATTTTGTGTAAATGTATGCATTATATGAAACACATGTTAAATATGTGGGAAGATGTGTATAAAACATTTGTGAATAAGAGGATATTTTTTCGTATCTACGAAAAGATCCACGGAGCATATTATTGTTGGCGTAACATTCCTGTGATTCCTGCTTGTTGCCCATGTAACATTGAACCAGTCACACGAGCAATTACGTATTCTGTGCAGCCAACCAGACTATCCTAATTGTCACTTTGTATTAAATTCAACTTTAAAATTCACCAGATGTCATTAATATTAAAGGTTTACTGGGGATAGCCTTTACAAAAAAAATTGGTGGTCATGACATTTTTATGAAGGCTATCACCAGTATTGTATCTATTGAAGCTACTGCCTTTGCACATACTACTAATCACCCACATGTTATGACATCACTTGCGTTCATTTTAATTGTCAAAACGACATTGATTAATAAATCATTCTCCATTGAGAAATTATCGGAGCATTCATTTGCACTTTAGCATTATGGGGTAGAGCCGTTCACCATGACCCCTTAAGTGTTATGTTTATTGTGCCTGTCATGTGATAAAACTAAAGTGACACTTGGGCTACCCCAGTTGCTAGGCGTGAGGGCCCCTTGCTTTGGCTTCCTTACACGTGTCTTTGAGAGAAATCAGAAACACTCAAACAAGCTTGGCCATCCTGAGCATGTGCGAGTACTTTCTGGAGTCCATTTACACCAACAATGCGAGACTACAGGCTCTATGTCCATGCTTGCAAGGCAGTCTTTAGCTCCCTCCATGTTTCCAGCTTATTTTGTTTTAACCAGGTGAGAACTCAAGAGACCAGGATAGTCTCATTTGCTCGCGTGACCTGGGTCACAAAAATGGCAAAAGCAACAATGAAAAGTATTTTAAGTACAACAATGAAACAAAACAAATGAGAAAAAACGATGTAACATGATACATCAAGCATTACACAACCATGAATCAATAGTAATACATTTGCTCTATGTCCATAGTCTGCACTGCACTTAGCCATGTGGGTTGAGGAGGGAGTGATCTATCTTGCTACTGGGAGAAACAATTTTGGGTCATGTGTGAAGCACTCAGGTCAAAGTGCAATTTACTTTTATCTTAATTATTGGACTGTTTTTTTTAGGAATGGATGAAAGATTTTGAATGTTTTTTTTGCTATTGTGGAAAACATAATTTAGCTTTAAAAAAATGTGCATTCAGTTAACGTTTATAATTTTCCAATTAAGGTTGCTGTTATTCATTTGTTTTATTTCAGGAATGTGTTTGGTTAACAGGCAGCAATACAATAAAAATAACGAGAATAGGTTTTCCCCTTTTTTGGCAACGAAACAGGTGTTAAGATGTTAAAACACCAAACTGAAACCTTTTACAAGGAATCATTTCTGCATTAACCACAATACTTGTGGTCAGAATGCAAACAAAAAACGTACTCTGATAATATATGCATTGTCTTTGAAACTGATTGGTCCACACCAGAGACTAGGCTCAAAAGAAAGCTGTCTGGTGTGGACCAATCAGTTTCAAAGACAATGCCTGTAAATATATTAAGCCAGTAGTCTTGCTTGACTTATTCTGAATGTTGATATTGTAGATATATAAATGTAAAAACGCAACACATTTGTCAAGAATATAACATCGGCAACGTTTTAGACAATGTCCCTTCTTCATAGCACATGGAGAGCAAATTGGCCCTTGTGCCCTGTGGAAGGTCCAGTGGCCAAAACGTCACCGATTATATATTCTTTCTTTTAAGGCAGTGTTTTTGACAAATGTGTTAAATTCCCATTGTTGATTGTGCTTGTGAACCACTGCCAACGCAGCATCACCATGTATTGTTTAGCTCTATCGTCCACCAAAATGTCCTTAATTCATCCCTTTACATGATTTCAAGTTTGGAGATGAGGTCGGCTCTCAAGAGTGGGAGGAGGAGGTTGAAGAAGAAGCAAATCAACAAGAGGCTGATTTCAATACCCCTCAGACAATCAGGTACGTTGCAAATGTAGTTTTTCACATATCCATTCCGGCTGTCCACTATTCAGCACCACGCAGGTACAAGCCCTATTCGGTCTCCTGTTGGACACATACATTTGCAACAACATCATTGCCTAGATCAGGGGTTGGCAACCTACGGCTCCGGAGCCGCATGCGGCTCTTTACGGGCTGCTTCTTGACGATATGTACGTATGTACAGTACTCAGATGCATTGCGGCTCTTGAAATACTGAATTTTGTACCGAATTGGAAAGAAATGGCTCTTCTTGTTATTTTGGTTGCCGACCCCTGGCCTAGATGTATATTTAGTTGTGTTTGTCACTTCCTTATAAAAGCAAACTCTTGTCATTAAATAAATGTAGCGATAATTAAGCTGATGAAAAAGAAGACGGGATTGGAGGATACCTAAAGGGGGGCATGTTTAGCTGGAAAGAAGAAGGGATCGGGGTGGCTTAGAGGAACTTTGGAAAGTTCCAGAGAATTTGGGGAGAGAGAAGGTATATGAGAGGTGTGTGTCATGTGTTTGGTGCTCTGGGAGAGAAGGCGTGCTGTGGGTGTGCACGTGTTGTGGTGTATGTATGTTATGGGGAGCGGTAGTGTAGCGGTTAGCGCGCTGCGCTATGAACCTGGTGACCCGGGTTCGATTCCCGCTCACGGCCAACACCAGTGACGATTATCTGAACCGATCCTGGACCTCCCCTATGTCGACTCAGCCTGAAATGAGTATCTGTAAACATCGCCACTGGGGAGACAAAGGTGGTCGGGCGTGGTTCTGGCCACCCACCCCCTCGTGTACTGTTCCGGCCTTCATAGGTGCTTGCTAACAGCACTTGCCCCTACAGTCTGTTAAGGCTATACGGGGGATCTTTGTCTTTATTTTTGTATGTATGTTGAACTTATTTCGTGACGTACGTAACCAACCGTGCTAATCGAAGGTGCAAAGAGGTGAATAAAAGTCTTACCAGAGGAATTTCGTCGTATGGACTCCCTTTCAAAAGCACCATTGTGCATTCATGAGACAATTGGTAAATGTTTTGTTGATTGGGCCAGCTATTTGTGATGAAGGTTCCATTAAGGAGGTGCGGTGAGCACCTTGACGTAAATTCTGTTTAACATGAGGCGAGTGATGTGAGTGTTTTATGAGGCCTGTAATAAATTACATGAGTTCTAGGAAGATAGAGCCGGAACGGCTTGACACGGCCATTGATTTTTTTGTCTGAATACAAACTGGTTGTGAGAACTTTAATGCTTGCAGGATATTTACCATGACATTTTAATGTGTTTTGATGATTATATTTAGTAGTGAGGTAAGTGATCACCAGTAGTGCAGGAGTAACTGACAATAATGCAATATTCACTTACAATTAAGATTCAGATTATTTTACAACAATGAAGCAGTGAAGTTTGGGTGATCGGTCACAGCATCGCTGAATTCTCTCAAACTATGGCAGCAATGCCAGATTTAGATTGGGGCTAAGTTTTGATGCCTTGAAAGCGTTACGGAAAAGGGAAATCATACTCAAATTACTGGGAGGTATTTAAATCAGATGTAATTGAGACAGCAGCAGAGGTACCTCATGTAAAAAAATGTGCAAAAGAATTGTCAAATTATTCAAAGTAAGAGTCCTTAAATATTTAGTAAAACTTTGGAAGGCAGATGTACCACTGTAATGCAGTGTTTAGTTTGTAGGTCTCTGAATGATAAATAAACGTGTATTGTTGGTTTTTCTTATGAATAGAATATTTGTCATAATTTATACAATGTATTTATTTCATTACAAAAAACTAATGAATTTTCTGCTCCATCATTTAAATGTACAATGCTTTTTTAATTGCACTTTTAACATGTTTTACTTTCAAAATAATTATGAAATATAGGTTATACACTACCTCTAGATATAGAACAGCATTGTGCAATTACCACTCTTTGCTGAAAGTGGTAAGTGTGCCACTGTTTTCCGCACACCATAAATCATACAAATTGTAGAAACATTTGTTCAAATTTAAACCCGAGTGTTTAAATCCAGGACAGCAAAAATTCCCTTTTTAAATGCATGTTGTTTTTGTGCTTTTGAACATCAGATTTGAGGAACCCCTGGCAAATGTCATTATGGACTGCCGGCACACGGTTAAGACACAGCTGGACCTTTTGAAAATGAGGAAAAGTAATATCAAGAAAAAAACACCTCATTCTCCAGAAAGCAAGGAGGAGGAGAAGAAAGTCGTTTGCTCTGTATCCTTCTCTCCAGAGCAGTATGCCATGCTCCAGCAGCAAATGCAGCAGGTAGGAGAATATACCTATCGATATGCAACCGATAAAAATGTGTGCACAGCACTCAGTTTGCACGTATGTCAAGTTCAAGCGGCAATCACAACTAATGCTGTTTATATCTTCACACGTCGCAATTTTTATTTTCCTGCTGTTGTGAAGTTGACCTCCTGGGTCCATAGTAAAGGTGTTATGATTTACTCAGCGACTTGAGAATTGATTGAGGGTTGAGACTAGACTTTACGATACAATACAGGTTCCATTAAAATTCTAGATGTGGTTTAAGTCCTTTTTAAATTATAATAACAAGGATCCTAGGCAGCCAGAAGTACATTTACCAAGCCTACTTGAATAGTGAATTACGAAGCGATCAGGGGAATGCAATAACATAATACTTAGGCTATAAAGTAATAGAGAACTATAAGAATAAATGCTTTAATTTAGACTTAAAGCTAGAGAGGTTACTGGGAGCGAGTTTCAGAGAAGGTGGTGCATTTTAGCTGAAAGAGCATATGTCTCCTTTCCATGTTATATTACGAACGTCTAACATGCTCACCCTTTGATGATTTTCTTAACATCCTCCATACATTTGTATTCAATGAATAGAAGCTTTTTTTAATAGGTTTGTCTAGTGCCCCTCCACATACTTGCCCTCTATAATGTTAATATGATACACTGACTAATCTCCATATATATAAAAGGCAAAGTTGTGAATATGTGTGTTCAAAATGTTTAGTGTATTTCCCGACATGCAACAAACTGAAAATTCGCCATGTGTGTACTTTCCAAACTGTACACCATGCAAAAATGATAAAAACATACTTTTTTTGGGTGGGGGGGGGAGCTCAATAATGCACATTTTTGCACAGCAAGTGAGCTGTGACGTCAAATCTGTCACGTGACCCGCGCATGTGGAAGCGTAACGCATTGTAGTGTAGCGCTTAGCGCGCTGCGCTACGAACCCGGCGACCCGAGTTCGATTCTCGCTCACGGCCACCACTGGTGACGATTATTTTAACTGGTCCTGGGCCTCCCCTAGGTTGACTCAGCCTCAAACAATTAACTGGTGTGGTGTGTGAACATCGCCACTGGGGAGACAAAGGCGGCCGGGCGTGGTGAATTAAGTGCCTGGCGAAGCCGCGTAGTAAATCTAGTTTGTTTATAATTGTTCTCGTTGCTAAATGTTGTTGAACCCCATATCTACTAATGTAATATCTTTTTTGACTTCCTTTTTATGATTACCTGTATTATGCACGTTAAATACCTTATCACATATATCTCAACGTTATTTACTACCTCCAAATCTTGACTTTCAAACCTACACCTGTGCCGAATATCAAAGAGTCACTCTGCTCAACGCAGCAGCCAATTCAATTTTAGTAAGCAACCCCACATTAAGACCCTAATTTCTATCCACAGCTGTAATACCCCAAGTAAGGTACGAGCCAACACGACTATATCATCTTCATTCTCCTAGGTTCTCGATTGCAAGTGGTGACCCCTTTGTTTTCTGCTGCCTGTGAACTATTAGGGGTTTAAATGGACACAGAATAATATGTCATTGAACCAAGTGGGTGGCAACATACACCTCCACTGAACGTCAGTTCTCTGTCAAACCACTCTGTCTCTCCTAAACATTTGGCTCATCTTGCCTGGAATGCCATAGCAACTTGCGTTGCTATTTGTCTTTTAAAGTGCTAAAAGATGCTGTAGCTTTTACGCACCAAGTAAATGTAAATTCTAATAATCTGAGTATTTCTGTAGCTTTCTGCAGACAGAATAATATTCTTGTAAGCTATAAAAATGTGCTGATGTATTTCCAGCAGTTCAATATTTTCAGTCTGATAGTAATATTTTATTATTGTAACTCTCCGTGCCTTAACCCACACTGCATTTATGTTTCAGCTTCTATATGCTTGGGTGTCATTAAGCAAAACTTTCCTTGAATACTCAGTTAACTTCCCTAGAATACCGTGTAAATGCATTGTGTCGTTGTTATTCCCCTTTTTACTTTAATTCCTTTCATCTAATCGTATAATAGCCTTTTTTAGGCTCGTGGCAACTTCGCCGATAATATCATCCGTTTCAGGGTGCCATGGCAAAGTGCACTTTGCAATGGACTCTCACCCCATTTATAAAACTGTTGTGCTGACAGCACCTGATGCACCATAAATACAAAGTAACGCTGAAACTCCTGCCTGGCCCAAGCCATAGCATCCAGGCACAAGTGAGCCATCTTCCTCATCTGCATTGTATCTGTCAGAAAGGGAGATGAAGCATTTGTCAATTATGTTGTGTGACCTATGGCTTTAGTTGTTGCACTAGAAAGGCATTCTTGATTAAGGTTTTTTGGGCTAGATTGCATAAGTATAAATGTGTCTCATCGGGTGATTTTGGCAAAATCGCCCGATAATGCTGGAAGTAATTACCAGTGAAACATACTCAGATTGTAAATGTTGTGGATTTACTCTCCAATACACAGGTAGGCTGAAATAGTAAGTAATTGGCACGTTCTGTTTACGTGAGAAACCTTACTAATTGGCTGTGTCACGTGGTGACGGGTTAAGAACATATTTATACTTAAGTGATCGAACCCAAAAAAACATCTCTGAAACAATTTTTCAGCCACATTAATTCCATACACCCAGCCATCAAATTCACCATGGAGGTGGAAAAAAAAGTTACCATTCTTGGATGTTTTAATCGAAAGGAGACCAGATGGCTCAATGGGACACAGGAAAGCCACCCATACTGATGCCTACCTAAAACCTGACTCCCACCACCATCCATCCCAGAAGAATTCCCTCATAAAAACTCTACACCATAGAGCTCGATGTATTTCCGACAGTCATCACCTAGCAAGTGAACTGGAACACTTACACCAAGCCCTCAAGATGAATGGATATTCAGACGACACAATCCGTAAAGCTATCACCCCAACCGTTGGGAAAGAACCATCTGAGGACCCAATCAGAATCATCACCTTGCCATACATAGCAGGAGTCACTAAAATTATTTCCAAAATCATGAGCAAACTCAAGATCCAGGTTCAATTTAACACAGTACATAAAATTCGTGATCCCATTTGTGAAGGATGTGATCCCTGATATGCAATACCCCAGCATCTACAAACTAAGCTTGTCTATGGCAGTAGTTAAATTGGGGAAACTAAGCGACATATCTCGGACCGTGTTCATGAACATAAGGCAGATCTGAAACACGGTAGGACCAATTACCTCGGCCGTGGCTGATCATTGTTTTAATGCGCTGGGCTCACGCGAAATTGATTTCTCTAAGACAAAGGTACTTTACAAGCCCACTGGCTATCAACAAATATTCGTCCATGGAGCCATCCATATATATAGACACAGGACACAATTTCAACCGAGAAGATGAGTACAAACTGAGCAATCATTGGAAGGACTTTATCAACCAGTTTAAGTCGCAATTGGCTATGATGTTCCCATCCTACCACCTTCCGATGTTAGTTGTGCTTTACGCCCATTTCAAACTTGCGCTTTCTTCACAGTCACTTTGTGCGCAAACCCTTTTGTTGCGACGCTGCGATCTTCCACTATCATGCTAATCTCTCTTTAACATGCTAATTTTCACCTGGCAGCCCTTTAATTGGTGTAAAACGAACCACCACCGGGCTCGCTGCCGAACACTTCCATTATCATTGGCTGCTGACATTTGGGCTACGCCCATTTCAAACCCTTATAAACAGTTTTTCTTGGAAGCTAACCTCCTTTTTCCTGAAGACGATCGCTTGCGTTGTGATTGAAACGTCGTAGTTTTTTGTTATTTGTTGTTATTTTCTTTGCAATATCCCAAAATTTTAAGGAACTTCAAGATTCGTGATTCCAAACATGGTCACCTTATAGCGATTCACAAAAGAGAATCGTAAAGACGTTTGTAATTGATGCGTCAATATATTTAAACTTTTTAATCCATTAATTTTAACTGGAATACATTTTATTTGATCCATAAGGAGTTTTGGTATTAAAGTGGAAGTCATTCTGTCCACTGGAGCACATGATGTGGGAGTGGAGCACTGGGACCATTTGGCTATTCCATGTTTTCTTTGCGTTTGTGTTCGGAAATTATATAAATTGAAAACATAATTTTATTGGAAAAAAATATGTAGCAGTTTAAATGTTTATTTTGCTTATTTACCTACTTAAATTTCGGTTCCTGCCCATACAAAATATTACATTTCTATTGTTGGTGGCAATACTGACAGCTTGGCAATGGCAGCATGTGGCAGTTGGTAAAAAAAACATTAAGATGTCTGTGAATATATCTCAAAATGGATAAATTGCCAAGATATTGTATTGTAAATGCCCTTACCTCCAGTATTCATGATCTCAAAGTATCAAAAATAAGCCATTTTTCAGAGTTGGAAGTGTGAATGGGAAAGGTTTGCATTAATCTTTTTTTTGTAATTGGTATGAAAACCAGCAATAATAATATTGTAGGACTCTTTGCAGGTCATAAAAATGTGCACCAGGGTGAATTATAAATCTGGAAACATTGGAGATTTCACTTCGGTAACACGCAGTCGCCGAGAAAACCGAGATGGTTTGGTGTTGTTATGGTCCCGAAATAATGATCGACCCTGTTGTGTATAAAATTTTCTATCATGTGTATCAGGCCTCCCCCTCCACCCTCCCCCCTCCCTGTCCAAGACGTTGGCGTGTGCAGCAGTTTGTCGCTTGCGCACAATCGCTTCCACGCCGTCGCCCACCCTTTTGGCCCAGCCCCCCCTCCCTCCCGATACGTTCCATTCATTGGCTACCACATTCTGATGAGCTCCCCCCCCCCTCTCCTCCCCCCTCAACTCGCTTTTAAGGGATTACATCTTGAATCATTGCCTCACTTGATGCAGCTAATCTGGCTGTGACGGTCCCACCTGATGACGGAGACTTGTGTTGCCTCCGAAACGTCGTGATCTTTATTTTATTTTATTTTTATTAATTTTGATGTTTTACCTACGTGACTTTACCGAAAAAACCTAAGAATATAAAATAGGCTTATGAAGAGACTCAAGAAGTAGCCCTGTCATGAAGCCTTCCGGGATGTTTTGTTCGAAACATAGTGGTGCACTGCTTACTTAGAAATGCACTTGGCCATGACTTGATGCAGATAGGATAACTGAAATTTAATGGTAATAAAAGCCCCCAAACGTTGTGATGTTCATAGTAGTTGGCAGATTATGTTTCTATATATGGTGGTGACAGGCCCAGCGATAGCGCGGTCGCCAGTCTTCGCAGAGGTTCGCCGTTAAAATCTGGCATATGATTAACTGTACAAGTAGGCGCTGTCTGCTTCCCAGTGGGCTTTAAAGTTCCTGTAACATCGTTTTGGTTTTGGCATCATGGTCCAAATTTGAAAACTTGGGATTCAATGCAGCAACATCGCCCCCTTCTGTGAAGCAACTAAATACTGTGTCTGAGAAAAACAGCACTGTTCTTCGAGCCATGCATTATAAGAATGGTGTGAATAACAAATGCGCTCGTGATTTTATCTATATTTTGCCCACGTGAATATGAGGTGGTCTTCATCTCCATTGATAGCCTCGAGAGAGATGTATTTGCTCCATAGGACAACTGCTGTTGACTGCATATAAAGTGGCACTTTTTTTTATTGGGCACAGATGGGTGGTGGTTTATAACAGAGGTGATAAAAGGTTCACCTTAATAGTTTATCTTTGCAGGGAAAAGTAAAAGTAAAACAAAATATGTTTACAGAATAATAGTGTTTGTGTCATGATTACTCAAATGGGTCATAATGAATATAGAAATACATATACGGTCTCATGGATATTGTTTATCATGATTATATGGATATTGAGATCATAATTCCTGTACAGATCACGATGAGAGATGTAAAGGATTAAAATATGTCAACCAGAGTTGCATGGTTATGTTGTGTACTGCTAGTTTAATCCAAAACCAGCAGAGGTCCCCTAAAAAGGAACTTTGAAGTTTCGGGGCTTCTGTGCATCATCCGCATATGGCTTCGTTTGAGACTAATGCACAGATGAACCCAGGTATTTACTATGCTTGACTATCTGGAATTATATTGGTGCAATAAATGTGGTGGTAAAGGTAAAAAAATAAATAGTTTTTCTGCTAGTGACTTAAATTTGAATAACTACATTTAATGTAATACTGTATTTGGTGGTGTGCTTTGCCATCATTAGCGACAACACCACACGTGTTGTTGTTTTGATAGGGAAAACACTATTTCCACAGTTACGTAAGTAAGTTTAGGCTTTAAGCCAGCGTACACACACATTTGCCGGTAATAATATTTGGCATTAGTAGGAGTATGACGCATTACACAGTCTACATTGCATGGGTATTTATGTTTTATGGTTTTGGGTTCTTAAAACGACAAATACGTTTTAATGATTAACACAGTAGTCATGTAACTTTAGTAACATGTTTTAACCAATATATAGTCCTGTTATTGTGTTTTATAATTACTTATATTGACTGGTCAGGTGGCACTGTGATTAAAGTGTGCAAATCACACGAAAAAACTAACTTAAATATTGCTTAGGGGTTGACTTAGGTCATCATTTAGTGTCAATCAAACGGGGTCCTACTTTGTGGGCAGTTATCAGTGGTGACAATAAACTGGCTCCTATAAAAAGGATTTATAATTTCAAATATTGTCTCAAGTCTTCCAATATAGATGGGAACCTTTCCATACTTACATATGCAATGTGAATATATATAAGGGAAATTTGTGAATATGTGTGTCTGTTCAAAATGTGTAGCATACTTTTCGACATGCACCAAGTGAGCAGTGACGTCACATCCGTGATGTCACCCGCATGCGGCAGCGTTACGCAGTATACCTGCTGACGTCACACATCCCCCTCCCCCAAACCCTCCGCGTAGGCCGTGTATCCCGCACAAATGCGCGGCTGGGGGGGGGGAAATAATGGCTATAATATACAAGGCTACAAACTTTACATTTGCCATGTGGCTAGCTTCCATACTGTACACAATGTAAAAAGTTTAAAAATATACTTTTTTATTGGGGGGGGGGAGGAATAATGGATATAATATATTGCACAAGTGAGCGGTGACGTCACATCTGTGATGTCACCCGTGTGCGGAAGCGTCACGCAGTGTGCCTGCTGACGTCACCCCCCCCCAACCCTCCGCGTAGGCCGTGTATAAACCCAAGACAAGAATCCAAGTCCCGGGCGAAGCCGGGTAGTAAAGCTAGTTTAAAATACATACCGTAATTGTTTAAACTATAAACCAAGCAAAACTCTTTTTAAAGTCTTAACATTGAACTTGAAAATATCTTAAACCAGCCAAAAGTCAATCAAATGTTCAATGGGGCAAAGTTTATTGAGCTATTTGTTAATGGTACTGTGATATATTGTCATGGGAGAGTGGGTGCACGTTTGCCACGTTTTGCAGAGGTTCGCAGTTTTAGACCCACGACCGCCCTGGTTAATACTCTGGGTATATTTTGCGATGAATACCCCCCTTCCTGCTTCACAATAGACATTAAAATGTCCTGTGATGTTATTGGGAATTAATAGGCCATGTATTTTGCCATATAAGACCAAATATGACACAATTACCAGAAGATTACTCAATTGGGATGACATAGCACCATCACCCACTGCTGTGAAACGACAGCATGTTATGTAAAAATAGGATCTTGATTATAACCTTCTGCAATAATAGTGCAAATACCAAATGTGATCATGATTTCACCTGATTTCTGTACTATTCTAGAAAGTATGCAAGTCATAAATATTACACTTTCAATGTATGGGCGCTACATTTGGCTTTGTGGTGTTGAACGGCATTTGCTTAGGTACATTGTTTTTATTTGTGATGAATAGTGACAATATTACGCCGATAATTAGTTACATTTTTAAAGTCTGTAGGTATTTTGCATTTTCTTCCTTTATTTGCGAAGATGGAGCACTTTCTGAGTTTAAATAACCTATCACAATGTGAAACACCATTGTTCAAGGTTGGAAAATCGGTAATATACATTAGTGTTTACTGAAGCAGACTAAGCAGTTATGCATTTTGTACTTAAGTGGATCATTATTTTGATGGATGAAATAAATAATATTTTTTGTGTGTTTGTTGCATAATGTCGCTTTCTTAACAGACTTAATTGATAATGAAACAATGTTTAAAATGTTTAATATTTCACACTCTGTTCCATTAGCATGTTCAACTCCTGACACAAGTTAACCTGCTGTCAACTGTCAATCCGGACGCTCACCTCTGCAGGACATATCTCGTACGTTCAGTATACAACAACATTAACGCACCATTCTGTTACTGAGTGATGAATGAATATAAAAATACATATACGTTCTCATGGATATTTTTTATCATGATTATATGGATATTGAGATCATAATTCCTGTACAGATGGTGATGAGAGATGTGAAGGATTAAAATGTCAACCAGAGTTGAATGTTTACGTTGTGTACTGCCATTTTAATCCAAAACCAGCGGAGGTCCCATCTAATTATCTTTTAAATATCCCGAGAGCAATTAATGGAATAGACGACAAAGCCCTTGTTGTTAAAGCATCAACGTTTTGGAACAACCTTGTTTTCCCCCTTAACATACATCTTCCTTCAAAATTATCCTGAAGCAGAAGATTAGTACTAGATGTCTTCACATTTGCAAATATGATTTGTAACTTTGATCCTTACTTGTATATCGATAACTCAATGTTAATGTGCCATTTTATTGAGGGACTACTGTGTGTTGTCTTGGTGTGGTCTGTGACTTTTGTTGTTTTTGCTGCCTGATTAATCGGACTTGTATCATAAAATGTGTATATATATTTAGTGACTTGCTTACCTTTTTCTCTATTTGCACTCCTATAGTTTTTGTATTGTTTGTTATAACCTGTTGACTCGCCCATACTAGACATGTATGAAAAAGTGCTTCATAGCTCATCGGATTCCTCCAATCTAAATAAAGATTCTGATTTTGTTAGGCGACAGTGCTGACTGAGGCATGGCAGAATGTGCTATGTAAGGAACTAACTGCCTTACGTTTCCACAACATCAACCTCTTGTTCTGCCAATATGGTGTGGATTAACAGTTGAACACCCTTCATGAATGTTAGCCCTGATTGTCTTTTTAAATGTTAACTGGTTTTTGTCTGTTTCATACAGCAAGAACTGCACATTCTGGGGGAGATGTCACAGACAAAATACCAGGAGGTCAACTCAGCCTTCCGTTCCTCTTTCATTTCATGCAACCTGATGGAGTCCTTGCATATTGTTGATGACTTTGACAAGAGTGAAAAAACCAAGTTAATAAAACATTATAGCAAAAAAAGTAAAAAATTACAGTCCAGTGAAAAAAGAATGATTAAAGGTGAGCTATTACAAAATGTTTTTAAGGTTATCATTTCGCAGTTCAATTCGACAGACTTAAACGCGGCATCTGTAATTGTACAAATGACATATTTTTGAAATGATTTCATGAAATGTACTTGGTTGCATATTTCGAACCTCTGATTGGCTCTACGATGTGAAAGTTCTACATACATACTCTTTGGTTCTTTCGGTAAATCACGTAGGTTTAAAATAAATCACGACGTTTCGGGCACAACACAAGCGTCCATAATCAGGTGGGAAAGCTGAGGCAGACTTTTATGGACGCTTGTGTTTGATGGACGCTTGTGTTTTAAAACAGTCTGCCTCAGCAGCAGACCATGCTTTCCCACCTGATGCTTGTGTTGCGCCCGAAACGTCGTGATTTATTTTATTTTATACCTTCGTGACTTTACCAAAAGAACCAAATTGTATGGATTCCTGCAGTCACGAAAGCTTCAAATCAAGATTCTACATACACTTCATAATCAACGTTTTTGGGTTTAGATCGCGTTATTTATAAATGTGTCGTAACCCTCCACCACCCGACACGGCCAATCAGTAAAAAAGTGTCACGTTGACAAAATACAAATAGTTCACTGCTTTAGCCCACCGGTGTGTTGAAGCGTGAAACCACAACATTTACAATTTTTGAGTAGTACGACGTTTCGCTGGTAATTGCATCCAGCATCATCGGGCAATTCGCCAGAATGGTGAGGCTCTGCTCTGTCTCCCGTTCTTATATAGAGCAGCAGCAGGGTGACGTCATCATTAACTCATCATCTCATCAGGTGCAACGATTTGAGGGGGGGGGGGTTGTAATTATATACTAGATTAGTAATCAGGCAGTTGTTACGATGCGAGTTGTAGATTAGTAATCAGTTGGAATGTGTTTTATTGTAATTATGCTACGTTAGTAATCAGTTACTAACGTAAGGAATTGTAATGTATCTTATTTAATAATACGCTTCCAGGCCGCACTAAGCCTGTAGCTGTCTGAGCGATTAAAGTTATTTCTGTTTCTCTCAATTTCAATGGATTCTTTAATTAGTCTTTGCCAGTAGTAACTAGTTTTACACAACACTTCCACGTTGTCAAAATCAATTGAGTGTCCCTGTTGTGGTGGAGGGTTACGACACATTTATAAATAACGCGATCTAAACCCAAAAACGTTGATTATGAATAATATTGGTCGCGAAAGCCTACGTGTTAAACTGATTCTACATACAGTTTGCAGTTAATGTATATTCCGTTAAATGGTTTTCTACAAAAGCACTGTCATGGTAAGCCCATTTAAATGAACTTCACACGAGGAAATGTCTCTTCTATGTTAATTGTACACACTTTTGGTTGTCTTCATGCTACTTCTGGGAGCAGATTATTTCAAATTAGTTTTCTGTGGTTTCATGAATTTTTCATAATATATTAATATCTATTTATTTTATTTTTCTGTGGAGTACATTCAATGTCAGTCACTTGGCATTTTTCTCTCATCAGTACAGATCATTTACTACTTGAATATGAAAGGTTAAGCAGACTAATCTATATTTGCTGGATTAAAGGTAGGTCCGAGCAGAACTCCACAACTTGTATTTGGATGAAAGTTATGCAACCTCCACTGTGTTATTTAACAGGAGGCAAACTTGAATGTTCTGTCAAGCTGGCTTGTATAATGAAGAGCAATGTGTTCATGTATCGGGAGCTTCTGCCCTGCTGCATGCTACATCCTCCACAACCCAAAGAGAAGAATGTTTTCACGAATGCAGAAGACAAGTAAGCCTTTCTGTTACTTGTCTAAAGCCTCGGTCCACATTTCTCATCTAAAGACTCTCACCTAAGAACGTTAAATTGCCGCAACACGTGTCATATACATGTCTCAGGGGGTGGATCTGAAGGTAGCGTCGGCGCTCAATCACAGGTAAGCTCTTCCAGCACATGAATGCTATTATTTTTCGTGGGGGTGAAGTTGGCCGGACTTTATTATACAAGGCAATTAATATGAACTGACCTACTGATAAACTCGAGTGATAAAGCTGGTGGTATTATGCTGATAGCCTAGGCTTTTGAGGTCCTCACAACTGTGATGCCTTATGGCAATTACCTTATTCTTTGCATTATGAGACGCGTCAGGAAGTAAGTTGCACCACATACTTGTGCCCGGTGTCAATTAAATTATACAAATCAAGTCACACCAACCAGATTTTCAACATGACCCCCAATGTTTGCGAAAAAAAACACGGGGAAAATCTCATCTTATGCTGAGAATATGGTAGTTTGATCAGTTCGGTTCTTTATAGTTTATTTAATTTGTATTTTCTCGAAATATATAAGATTGAATATAAAGGCTGCCACATATATAAACAAAAACATTTATTTTTCAATATATTTGTATTTATTTTAAAGTAAAAAAAATTTTCCGTTAACCAACATTTTTATCAGAAACTTTCAAATCTCAGCAGCTGTGGTTGGTAACTACTGTGTTTTGCATATAATTAAATACATGTGTTCGATAATTCTTACATTTTATATTATTTAACAACTATAAAAGTAAAAACTTCATATGGTATCTGAGTAATTACATCATAATAGTTTAATGTTGCCATAGTACGGTAATATCCTCCACTCAGCCAGTCAGATCTAATCAGTATCAGAATCAGGTTTTATTGATCTTATATAGGTTTATGTAGCACCCTATTCCAAGGTGCTTTACAACACTTATACAATTCTACATAAGATGATAGTAGTTGAAATAGAGTGTGGAGTTATTAAAAGTAGTGGTGTAGTTATGGTGACAGGAGAACATGCAGAAGAGGTTTTAGGGGTGTTAGGGTGGGGCCTGGTCGTAGATTGGGGGTGGAGGCAGGGAGTAGCAAGTGAGCTTGGTTGGGGGGGGGGGACGAGAGGGGTTTTACAGGAAGAACAGGTGCAGGTTAGTGAATAGTATTTAATCGGACTGAATCCATTCACACTCAATCTGTGTACGTCTAAGATATTGAATGGAATTAAGACTGGATTAATGTTTTTCAGGAATGCATGAAGACGTTTATTCTGTCAGCAGCATAGGTGTCATCTAGTAGTATTTTTTATTGTATTATATTACAAATAGTCATTTTATTTAGGTGACAGCACGTTAACTATATGTTAAAGTACAATTCAATCTATGTTAAGGTACAGTTACAGTTTTGACCTGCATAATTCTAAAATGCCATAAGCCCTGAGTAAATTGTAGCTCATAATGACTGATATTTAATTTTAGTTTTTGTCTTTTCCTCCACAGTCTGTTGGTGCTGGGTCTCAAGCACTTTGACAAAACACCCTGCCAAAAGACGCTCATCAGCCAGTACCTAATGCCTCCAAAATCTATGCAACAGATTTCCTTCAGGATCAAGAACTTGATGTCAACACGCAGTAGCAACAATGTTGTAAAGGTAATGGTGGGGAATCAAAAGTTTAAGCAACATTGTTCAGCAAAATAATTTTAAAAAAATGTACTCTTGATTTTTTCATATGGTACAAGCTTCCTTATTCTATTTCAGTTGTACATTTTGCAGATATGTCTATTTTGAATGCATAACTCCAAATTAAATTTGAGTAACTGCATGCTCGTGGTGCTGCTGCTTCATGTGATCCTACTGGTGCTCCTTCAGGATGCTTGGATTTTAAATTGGTTTTGACTTAATATATATAGCCTCATGTTCCTCCCAAGCAAAGTTGAATGACATGAAACAAGGGGCACTTCCCTGCATCTCTGCAGGATGGTCCTGGCATGGGAGGAGCCTTAAAGTTTCCCTCATTTTATCGTATGGAAGGTGAACAGGGGAAGATAAGACAAACGGGCTGCATACTCTTTGTTTTTTTTCGGTAAAGTCATGTAGGTAAAAAAATAAAATAAATTTGTGATTTAATTTATTTTAATTTTTTACCTACGTAACTTTACCGAAAAAAACAAAGAGTGAATCCTTGCAGTCACGAAAACTTCAAATCTAGAAGGAAAAAAACAGGCTGCAGTCAATCACTCGGCAAAATAGTGTTGCAGATGAGAGCATTTGCTGACCCACATGATTTAGTTATGAATTAATGTGTTGAGTTTTCTGTTTTACTGATCCAACTCATCTGTTGTTGGAGTTCATTCAGAACAAGCCATGTCCAGATGATAAATACAAATGAAGAATTACATTTCTTTTAAAAATTTTACATTGAGTATTAATGTAAATATGTTACCTTAATTCAGTACCACGGTATTGTGCCACTGACCTTAAAAACTATTGTACACTACTGTACCATATAGGGTCACAGTTGCAAATGAAATGTATTTCCTTTGTCATTATCCAATTGTTTGTGGATCCTTGAAAATCTATATTTGGTGCATCCTTAACAACAAAGTAATTTGTGTTCTACACACTGACATGACATAGGCAAGTGAAAGATGAAGGGAAGTGAATGGCAGCTTTGCTTTTTGCTTTGGTTAAATTAATGAATGCACATTATCATCACCGCAGCTTGGTACACAAGATCATTAAACACTGGTCGCAGGTTATCTGCACAATGAATGTTTTTATGTTATACTGGTAGGAACCACCTGGTTCCACCAGCCCACAGAGGATTATTGTGTCTGTCCGTCGTGCATCCAAAAATGAGAGGGGAGGGTGGGGAGGGGGTGTGGGGAGGGGCTGGTTGGGGCTGGATGGGGGGTGGGAGGGGTGGGGCTGGGTGGGGAGGGGCTGGTCACCCCGTGATGCCCTTATAAAACTCAACGTTTAACCTACTCACGCCGGCTTGTGCCCGCCCTCACAGTTGGGCATATTTGCGGAATACACCATGCCGCCGTTGGCACTGGCCATTGACCGAGTAACCCAACGTTCCTACCAGCTCACTCCGCATGAATGTGTTTTTATACATTGCAGACATACAAAAAGACTGGAGTAGTAGCTGTGATGCCCAAGCCATGTGTGGACGTGCTTCCTGAAGAAGCAGTTGCACCGATTGACAGAGATCCTCGAGACATTCCTCCGTGGTTCAGGGTAAGGACGAGTAGCCACGGCATGTGCACTGGTGATATTCACTCATAAATAACTCCAGGCTATCATATTGTGATATGTGAAGTGGAATAAAAAGATCTTTCTATATATACGCATGTATTTAATGATCATGTTACTATTTTGTTTATCATTAACTGCAAATGTGAACAAGTAACCTTAAGGCTAATGGTTAAGGCTAATGGTTACTCCGACTACACAATCCGCAAAGCCATCACTCCAACCATCAAGAAGGATCCTGTTGAGGAGCCTTTCAAGACCATCACCTTACCCTACATTGCTGGGGTCACAAAAAAGATCTCCAAAATCCTGATTAAACACAAGATCCAGGTCCGATTCAACACAGTACATAAAATCCGTGATCTGGTCCCGTCTGTAAAAGATGTGGTTCCAGACATACAGTATCCTGGCGTCTACAAACTAAGTTGCCTCTGTGGTAGCAGTTACATTGGAGAAACCAAACGACATGTCTCGGACCGCATCCGTGAACATAAGGCAGACCTGAAACACGGTAGGACAAACACCTCAGCCGTGGCAGATCACTGTTACAATTCAGTGGGCTTACATGACATTGACTTCTCCAAGACAGAGGTTCTCTGCAAGCCATCTGGCTATCATGAGAGATTCGTTCATGAGGCGATCCACATATACAAACACAGAGACAATTTCAACCGAGAAGATGGATTCTGGCTTAGCAATCATTGGAAGGACGTAATAAACCATTTCGGATCTTAACTGATTGTGTTCACGTTTACGGTGACTTTCAGACCGCGTTCCACTCACTGGCATGGTGCAGTGTGCAGAGTAATGTATGGTGTCGTAATTGTATAGTAAACATATAGCAGTGTGATACACATTAGGGTGGGTAGAATAATACATAGTGTTATATTAAAATGGATAAGGCAGCAACTGCAGCAGCAGCAAGTGCAGCAGCAGCAGCAAGTGCAGCAGCAGCAGCAGCAACTGCAGCAGCAGCAGCAACTGCAGCAGCAGCAGAAACTGCAGCAGCAGCAGTAACTGCAGCAGCAGCAGTAACTGCAGCTCCCTTTGATGCTGTTAATCCTGCATAATGCACATGCATATGCAGTACTAATCACATTCCTGCATTTCCCATAAATATGCTAAATCCCTTTTGATATGCAAATTCCTTTGTCAATGCGCCCAGCTTATATATATGCTCCAAGCTCGTGTGCTGTTTCATTCAGACTCTGTCGCCTCGACGGACCTGGTTTTCACCTGAGGACGGCTGCTTGCGTTGTGGCCGAAACGTCGTGAGAATTGTTTTATTATGTTTTATTTTTATTATTTTATTACTTCCCTTCTACGTGACTTTACCGAAAGAACCAAGAAGATGAATACAAATATTATTTAATAAAAATAATAATCATATTATTTTATTATTTCCCTTCTACGTGACTTTACCAAAAGAAAAAATATTATTTCCCTTCTACGTGACTTTACCAAAAGAACCAAGAATTTGGTATTCAACATGTTTAAGATAAGACTAGTGGTTTTGTATGGCTGGTATTATTTTTTGGCGGAATCAACAATGACATTAACTTGCAATTCCAATCATGTTTAATTTGTTTCCTCTGCATCTTGATAAATAATAGTGCCTTTTACAGGAATATTGAGTGAATGGCAAAATTAATGTATATTACCAATGAAAGCTTCATTGAACCTCAACGACAAAACAAGTCGATGTGCAGGAGAGAACTTAAGCATACTTAGAGAGAACCTCTCAAATCTGTACACATCGGTTGGCAATCTATTTGTTGTACTCTCATGCACTGTCGACTTTTTATACCTGCACAGTGGAGACCATTGGAACATAATTTGCGTTACAAACTGAAAGTGTTTTAAAAGATTGAGTTGTCGATCGGTCGTCGTACTCCAACGGCATGTAGTGTCACCCATGGCAACATGGAGGAGTAGCTGTAAGTGAGATGGTTAAAGTGGACGTGTTGTTTTTCAGAGAGCTGTTATTGCATTTCTAGTGATGAAAGAAGGTTATTCTGGCAGATGTGTTGTGTATATATATGGGGCACCTGCATGCCGTGTAAAAGCAATGTCAGGAAGTGGACTTAAGGTTCCAGAAAGACAATATATACATTTCCTAATAGGCCTATGAGTGGATGAGTGGCTGACCAAAAATGCCCGCAGCTTCAATAAATGCGTAGAGAGCAGAGGGAATTGTTCAGGCTGATGGATGAGTCAGTATTGGGGACATAGTTCATTCCAGATTGCTGGTCATATTGTGCAGGAAATATCTGACTTTCAATATCCTAAGATGTTACCACAATGAGTACTCAAAATGTTGACGTGCCGAGCTATCTGCGTTTGTCAACATGTACAATATAGCATGTATTTCTGTTGCATAGTATCGTGATGGGATACATCCTATTTTATGATTGTGACTAATAGTCCAACTGGCAAAGCATTGATTTTCATAATCATAATATTACTTGAGCGAAAGTAGAGAAAATGCAAGCCTGTGAGTTCTGCCAGCGAGGTTCTGGGTTGTGATCTACCAAAATAGTGTTCTAGTCTATTGCTGATATAGAATTAGCATTGTGCAATGGTATGCTGGGGATTACAGAGAGAAGTGTCAGGATCATGGCTGAGTGAGGCTCTGTCAGGCACATGTCTACTGCTAGCGCATTGCAAATAAGGAGACTTTCATGAATACTTTTGGTACATCTCATAATAATGACTACATAATAACAAATAATGCATTTTTGATTTTCTTAGAAACTGATTGGTGTTGTGAAAACACAACTCAATGAAAAAGAAAGCGTCACTCCGAAATCGCCTCCCACGTCCCTTCCTGATGTGAACGAACAACTGCATGAAAATGAAACCGTGATGCCACAGTCACCTCCCAAGGTCACTGTCACTGAAGAAGACCCGCAATCAACCAAAGAAAACAAACCTGTTGAAGACAGCAAAAGTTCACAGGGTGAAATGTTACAGAGTTCCATGCAAAGTGTCACCGTTATGGAAAATGACTTATTGGGCTGCTTCAACGTTGCGGGTGATGATGGAGACCTAAAAGTCAATGCAACCGACAAAACGAGATCAGATTGTGAAGGAGGAGCACATGTGGATGAGCAAGAAGAAGAAGAGCTCACACAGGAGGAGGAGGAAGATGAAGATGATTCTTCATCAGAGTCGGGAGATTCTGCACTCTCTGTCCCAGAACTACAGGTAACCCCCCCCGGTTTTACAATTATTCAATCAAATGTTGGATCTACGTATACATATATCACATAGTGTGTTTAGAAATTGTATTATTTTAGTTGTCAAAGGTTTATCTATGTTTAAGCAGCATTATAATATTTGAGACTGTACTGTTACATTAATTGCATGCAAATATTACTTCCATTAAATAATTATCAACGCTTGCCCATAACATTTGATATGAACAGTCAAAATACAAAGTTGTTCTACTTCTCTTCTGCCTTAGGAAACCATTGATAAGTTGTCTTGGTTAGCTTCAGACACAAGGGCAAATAATCCAGGTGGTGATTCTGAAGATGATCTCATATCTCAAGAGGAGACCTCTGAGCAAGATGAGGAAGAAGAAGAGACAACAGAGCCTGCTAACAATGAGCAAGAAAATACATCTGTCATCCCTGGATGCTCCAGCAGTCCACCAGCTCCTGTCGAAGAAAGTGTCACCAGCAGTGTTGAAATTGAGGGACAACTGGATGTGGCTCCTAAGGAAAAAGTTGCAGTCAAAGTCAAGCCCAAACGAACCAGGTATAGAGCAAGTATGGATACGTCAAAGATGTTGCTTTTACTAGGCGATGATATTTTGGAAACAGATCCACAACGTGATAAAAAGGATTTGATATATGCTCAGGCATACTTGAATAGAGTGAAAGAGACCCTTCAAAACACCCCTGGAAAGTATGAAGAGTTTTTGAAGATCTTACATAACTTTGAGATGAACCATGCTCATCGGTCGGTTGTGGACATGTATGAAGAGCTACACAATGCATTTAAAGACTGGCCTGAGCTCTTAAAAGAGTTTGCTGTGTTTCTTTTGCCTGATCAAGCACTGGAGTGTGGACTGGTAAGTTATTAAATTATTGCTGCAAAGTAATATCACATCTCATTCATTAAACATATCTGGTACCATTACTAGATGGATGTAGATACCATATTTTATATTGTATTTTTATGCAACATCACCCTGTCATTCTGTGGAAAGGAAAACTTAAATCCACGATAGTATGGCACGTTAACACTTCGCCTGGACTCATTCATTGCATCTGATAGGAGTCGCACGGCTTATCAGATTTTGTCATAGAAAATAACCTGGTCCTTCCTGAGCCATGTTGGCCTGGCTCAGCATGGCCCCAGCCTGGCTCGGTTGTATTTGAAAATGTCGTACAAGACAAACATTCTGCCCTCTATCTTCTCTGAAGAGGGGCCATCACTCTAACTTTTATTTCAAGACATTATTAAAGACATTATTAAAGACATTGGTGTCGTCAGTCTTTGATTTAGACTTATAACATTCTTTAATGTTACATTTGTTTTTTACAATATTAGAGCTACAGTGTTGTTTTTTGTTGTTGTATCAGTTTGAGGAACAGCAAGATTTTGAGAAAGGCAGAACGTTTCTGCGGCAACTGGAGATATGCTTTGGTGAAAATCCAACTTATTATCAGAAGATTGTCAAGGCTCTACAAAATTGCGTGAAGTTTACCCAAGAAGAAGTAAATGAGGTACATATATATATCACTTATGCTCTGCATTACACATGATGTATCTATGTAAACTGATTTAGATGTCGCACAATTGCTCTATAAGCATAATTGGTGTATTGCATACAATTGTCCATGCTGTGCTATCTGTATGGAGTTTAATTTTACAATCTCTAAAGAGATTGAATGGTAATTAAATGGTAAAAATGGTTAAACAAGTCAGTCTTCCATTAGACATTTATTGAAATATAAGCAATATTAAAAGCTCTCTGTGATCAGTTCTTATATAATGATGCGTTCATCCTTAATATCATGTATCATTGTCTAAGTCCATGAATACAAAAAAATGCAAGAGATTTTACTTTCCTATTTTTAAATATGGGGTTATTTTTCACTCATGTGATGCATAGAACAAGATATAATTTGGCACATGGTATGGCTTTCTCTGACTTATATGTAACGAGCCTTTTGCCCGTCCAAGGACGGGTGTATTGCAGTAAATCTGCATCTTGCAAGTGAAAAGCAGACCGCGATGTGATTTTCATTGCATTAATGCGTGTGCAATTGGTAAGGCCGCTGTGACACAGACCTATTTAATTTTAAGGTTATAATCCCTTGTTCATCATGACGTCATTTTTACTTTGATGTCTCAATAGCGTTACGGAGATCGCGTGACGTGAGGGTTCTGCCTTTGTAGTGAGGGTTGTAAGTTGACGCCGAGGAGGGGGGGAGGAGGCGCCTCACCCCCCCCCCCCATGTGGAGTGACGTCAGTCGCAAATTATTATGAATGGGGGGGGGGGTGTCCATTTGGAGGACGTCACCTTATAATGATTTATTAATGAGGGGGGCTGTTCGATTTGGAGTGATGTCACCTGCTCATGATTATTAATGAGGGGGGGGGGGGGGTGTGATCCCTGACATGCAATACCCTGGCGTCTACAAACTAAATTGAGTCTTGGCAGTAGTTACATTGGGGGAACTAAGCGACATGTCTCGGACCGTGTTCGTGAACATAAGACATATCTGAAACACGGTAGGACCAATACCTCGGCCACTTCCCCTTCCCACCCCTTGATTGTGTCCTCCTCTCCCCCTACCCCACACCCCCACCCTCCCTGGCTCCTCCCCCCTCATCTCTTGCCTATATATGGCCTCTTGTTGCAGCAGCCCTTTTGCCCACTTAAGCAATTGTTTCTTGCTGTGGTTGTCCCACCTGATGACGGACGCTTGTGTTGCGCCCGAAACGTTGTGATTTAATTTATTTTATTTTCTACCTACGTGACTTTACCGAAAGAACCAAAGAGTATCACTAGCCCCGCATTCTCCGTTTATGACCCTTGGGCTACACCCATTTTAAACCTTTTAAACAGTCTGCCTCAGCAGCTTTCCCCATATTTTCTTGCCTCCTGATGACAATCGCTTGTGTTGTGATCAAAACGTCGTCGTTTTTTGTAAAAAAAATGTTATTTTCTTTGAACCTATCTACGGGACTTTACCAAAAGATCCAAAATATGAATTCCTGCATTCACAAAAGCTTTAAATCAAGGACGTAACCTGTTCATGATTGTTAATGAGGGGGCTGGTCGATGTGGAGTGACGTCACGAGCATTAAGGACATTCCTGGGTGATTATAGTAGGTATTATTGTGGATAATATGATTATTATATGTATTTTTCAGTCGAGTGTGTTCTACCTCATGGCACTGGTGGTCACTACAAACAATGTATAAAAAAACACATTCGTCAGTATTATTAGTTTAGTTTTGTTACGTTTATTACATGCATGATTCCATTTAGCCAGTTGCTCGGCTGTTTTACAAGGGAGATCCGTGGTACATGAGCATAGGGAGCAACAAAAACACAAACTCACTATTGCAGAGAACGAGTAGAGGGTCCTTAAGGAAGTTTGCACTACAAACAAACAATGAAATATAATGGTTGTAAAAAAAAAATTAGGGGCATGTCCAGGTTAGCTCTGTGTTTTAGCCCTGTAGGGAAATAAATAGGGGAAGTGAAGGGAGGGAGCAAAGCTGTAGTTGAGCGGCAAGAGTATTCCTGAAATGTGGAGCAGCAACGCGGAAATATTTTTACACAAAGTTTTAGCACATGGAATCAGCAGGCACGTCTCATGTTATGGGAGAGAGTGGTCCTATAGGCAATTGGCAGATTTGTTGAAGAAGACCTTAGGGATGAAGACAGCCCAGTGATGGTCTCAACAGAGATTCAGGGGGAAACAGATTTAAATATTGGATCTCTACACATTCATCTCTGCATGCAAAGCTTAGCAGGTAAATATAAGTACTGTGCAGTGATTGATTCATGGACATGTGTCATACCACTTTCATCATCGTGGCCATTAACATAAGTGGCTTAAAGGGGTATTCGAAGCTGCTATTATGGGAAGCAATGTTGAAAGTGCAATCTACAGCTCATGATGGTGAAGTAACTTGTCCTTGTACAGAATTAATAAGGCACGTTTTACTGCGAACCGTTTTTCCAACATGAAACCTTCCGCTTCTTTGTTAACTAAGTATACTCTTGAGTTTTTAGATTTAACATGAAGTATTGCGCCACTCCATTTCTAAAACACTTATTCACTAATACATATGTAAATAGCATGTGTCATGGTCTTTGTCAGTGCTATTGTAAAAGTGCTTTAATCTTTTAATGTATGCAGGAGGCGTGGGTTCGATCCCGACCCTGACGCCTGCTGTATATCTGGAGTTCTCATGTTCTCCCCGTCGTCCCGTGTATTTTTCTCTGGGTCCTCCGATTTCTCCCTCCACGTTTAGACACATTTTTTTGTTACAATTTAATAACACTTCAAAATTATGACGTACAGTTTAATCCAAGTCACTTGCCATCACCGTGAAGCAGAGGTGGAAGATTGAGGATGCACTCGAAGTGGAAAGCTGAAGGTCTAATTTTTATTACAAAGACACTTCCCAGTCTTAATGAGTGCATCTAGAATTTTCTACACAAGAGTAGCCTAGAGCTATGTTGGAAAACAGTGTTCAGGTCATCGTTTTTTGGCAGTCTGCACTGTGTGATTATTTATTTCGGCACCCTTTTCAGCTTAATCCACCTGCCCTAAATGACATTGCCGAGGTGGATTTGCTTGTCACACTAAGTTGAGTGTTGACAAGTCATCCCATGAGATAAATGTCCCAGGAAGTCACCTGTGATGTTATCCTTCCATGTGAATTTTTTAAAATTTCTTTGATAGTCTGCTTTGATATTCGTAACAATTGGTTTTCAGCCTTTGGTCAATTCAGGGCCTTAGTATGAATTTGTATGTGGGCAGCAGTGGCACAGTGGTTCGCACACGGCACTACAAACCCAGTGACCTGTGGTGCCTGTTCTGAATGTTCTCCCATGGTAACTAAACATTGAATGGGTGTCTGGTGTGGTGTGTGCTTTGAAGGTAATGGTTGGTCGATTGCTGCAGATTATGGATTGTTGTGGTTTGGTGAATCATCATTAATTGCAACAGGAGCAAATTCATTATTTAACATGAGCAGCAGTCCTGGTCAAACTACTGCTGGAGGAGGGCATCCCCGATCCGCCATTATTTCTCGTGATTCTACAATGTAGTTATCTACCTTGCACCTGCACATGACCTGATTTCATTGCTCCATTTTCTCAGTGAACATACTCTCAACTTAACATTCTCATTCCATTCCATGGATCCATTGGCCATCCATACCCTCCAGCCCCACGTCTTGCCCAGCACACTTAATGTTTTTCAATGGTTTTAATTACATCATTAACCTCCATATATTCTCTAATTCACTTGTACCTCTTTCTATCGATTAATGCCATTTCAAACATGCATCTCTCAATGCTTACTTGGGCCTCTTTTCAGCTTTAGTTCCATTTATTTTTCAGTATCTATATTTTTGATCCTTTCCCATATTTTTTAGCATATTGTATCGTTTTTTTTTTTCAATATCCAGTTAAGCTTCCCAAAAACGCTTCATTATTTTTTCAAATTCCATGTTTCATTGTGCTCCACTTAAATATATGTACCTAGGTACACATCTTATGCTTGCTATTCCTGTTATGTCCTTCCCACACTTATGTCAATATTTTAGCAAAATAGATTTACATGACCCTTTTTTTGCTCATTCATCTCGAGCTTGACGGTTGCAACCTTTTTTCTTAAGTTCTAACATTTCCTGCAGTTGATTTTCACCAGACATTATAATGACTATGGCAGGCTAAACTTAGATGGTGAATGTATTCTTTATTCATATTTATGCCTTTGTGTGTTCAGTAAATTTTTCAGGAAATGTCTTCAAATGCCACGTTGTGTGACTCACATTTTTAAGTATTATGTAATAGTTGTATGTAATGTTAGTGGGGATGTTCGTTGTTTGTTGATGTTTTTATATTTATGTTTTCAAAATAAATATTTTTATTTTGGCCTTGGTTTTTTAGAACTTTAGATGACTGCAAATATTTCTCCTGAATGCTTTTTTCTTGTCTACAAAGGTTAGGCACGATGGTTATTGATACTTAAAAACACCAATAAATAATACAATTGTCAGCACAGCTTGCTGAAGTATTCTTGGGTATTTTGGTAAAGTCACGAAGATAGGTTCAAAGAAAATACGTGACTTTACCGAAAGACCCAAGAATATGAATTCCTGCAGTCACAAAACCTGTAAGTCAAGCTTGCTGAAGCTTTCTTCTGCACGATTTTGCAAATATTGCTGGCAAAACGGAACTTATTTTCTCAATAACCCACCATTTGTTCTTTCCATTGGATCGCCAACCTTTGGGTGGTCCAGTCTAATGGTTGTCAGTCATTTTAAACGGGCACCTTTCCCACCCAAAGGCCTCTGATCACGACATGGATGGCAGTGGACTGACAAAGGGCAGTTGTTATTTTTATGATTATAACTTGCTTATATTTCGTCACAATGTTTTAACGCCTCACTTGTGCGGTGGTATGTGGTTCATGTTCTCACATGTTTTTGATTGCATTTCATTTCAGCTGAAAACACAGATGTGGCACCTAATGAAAGGCCACAATTACCTGCAGGATGTGTTCTCCATGTTTTTTGACCACTTGAGGCCACCAACAAGCAGAATGGATGACTTTGAGGAAGTAAATTGGACAGATGAAAAAGAGTATAAGGTATTGTCAATACATTGCTTAACCTTATAGATGGCTTGTTGTGGCAGAATGTCACAATTTAACAATATATGTTATTACCAATTTTTGATAAAAACATGACAATTTAATTGAATCTTGTCTTCACATGCATTGTTTGATTTTGGTGCATAATTCTAGATGTGTATTAATAACGATCCATCCCACCCCCCACTCCCCAGGAATTTGCTGAATTGTTATAATATTGGGTGAAGGATAGATTCAAGGATCAATGGTTTTCATATAATTTTTGTAACCTATCAGCGGTATTGTCTGTCTGACTTGTTTTGTAATGTGATGGTGTGTGCATTCTAGTATTTTAAAGGTACATAGCATATAGTTTGCTTAAATTGTAAACAATTTGATAAATGTATCTTGAGTACGGCCCCGTCTGGAATTGTAATTTAAATCGTGTATTCTCTTCCTGGTGGGATTGACAAAACTGTGGAATCGTGACAGGGGTCATGGAATCATGAAGGTCAGGCTATGTAGAGCCTGGTGTGGTATTCAAGCAAGAAGGGGGGAGGCTCCTTGGGACCTAGCCGGCATATTGGAATTGTCATAAAAAAAATGTGTGGCGATGCCTAGGTAATACATTTGAATATTGATTCTGGTAGATACCGGCTGGCTCGTTATGAACCCCTAAGTTTATAGCGTAGCATTTACATGGAGCAGTTAAATATATGTGTGTGTGTATATATATATATTTGGCTATGCACTTAACTGCTCTGTGCATTCTGATCAAACATGGGCTTGGGTAAGGACCATCTCCAAGCCGGCCAAGACGAGGAAGTCTGGGCTACATGGACAATGCATTTTACTAGCCACATGGAATAAACCAGACTTTCTATTCTGGCCAGCTATGAACAGTGATGTTTACGTAAGCTAACTAGCTAGATTGCAATAGCATATCAATAGAATTCCATTATATTGCACAGCCTCTCTGTTAGAATCTAATTCGAGTGAATAGAGATTTTCAAGGTGAATTTCCCATCGAAGAATTGTGATTCCTGTAAAATTCATCTGGGGTGGAATTGCATGAATCTAATAGCGATTCCGTGGATGAGTCACCCAGCTATTATGTTGAGAGTAAAAATCTATTTTAATCCATAAGCTGTTACATTCCTGCCGAATGCATTTAAATTGCACTCCCTGAAACTTCCAATACTCTCAGGCTGCTCTTTTTAGAATATAAACCAGCAGTAATAATTTATTAAATAAATCAGTCCTCTTACAAGCAATTATGTGTCCCTCCTGGATAGAAGCATGATGCATTGTGCCCAATAGGGCACATTATTGTCACTGATTATGTTCAGTTTGTGCCACCCTGGGAAGGGGGCTCATTCACCGTGCCTTTTCTGCATAATCCCACAGAGATGAAGTGAATGATAAAAAAACATCCTCTGGTCTCAATTATCTTCCATATAATAACGTGTGCTGTGTCTGTCATAGCTCCATGCGCTTTAGAATGCATTCAAGGTGTTTCTTTGCCTGATGTGTAGTTTGTGTTTTCTCACTTAAAATCTGTCCTGCAGATAGCATTGTTTAATTCCACATTTGATAAATGTAATCTGATTTTAAATCGTGTGCAATGTCACGCATGATTCTCTGCAGCACAGTTACGCATTTGCACAGAAGTCCTGCAGATATCAGCATATAGTGTATGTTTGAGGCTGCAGACTATAAAAAGGGTGAATCCTTTGTCTTATACAATGATGATGGACTTATTCCCCACCCTCGTGAAAATTTGCAGAAATTAAGGTGAAGAATGTCAAGTTGGACTGTCTAAAGTGCACGTGGCTTTTCCTTTTTTTGACAGTATGTCATGCTCAGGTGGTAGGACATAGGTGATTTGACATTGAATGGCCTGCAGCCTGCCCACACACGTATACAATTTTACGAATGAGTCATGTGTCCATTATTCCCAAATCATAATTATTTGAAGTCCTGCACATTTCCAATCCCACACATCCAGGCATGAGTGGTGCTTAGTGTTGTTACTAGGGGCAAAATAAGGAAAAGGTGCATCTTCTAATGTAATTGGCAGCAATGGAAATCAATTTGAGCTGCTCTTTGAATGAGTTGCTTTTGGTAATTGTCATTGATTTTCTTTTTCAATTAATTATTACCTAAAATTAAAATGTGCAAAGTTTTCACATATCCTTTGGAATTATCGTAATGTGTTGCTGGAGTTGGACAATATAACATTGAATTTTAGACACTTGTAAATTTAACACAGCAAGCGCATGATATGATTGAACTAAAAATGTATAATGTATTGTGTATCCGTTTTAAATATACCATAGTACTAAAAAGGTTAGTTTGTTTTAAAACGTAATTCATTCGAAAGTTTCCACGTGACTTGTTAAGAATTCTAATGTTTTTTAAAAGAGCTAATGATAATATTGACCTGACCTTTTTCAGTTTGATGGATTTGAAGAAGTTGTTTTGCCAAAGTTGAAGAAATACAATAAAGAGAAGTCTAAGAACAAGGACGGTCCATCGAGCAGTGAAAAGGTGTGTTGTCTAATTTGGGCACCTTCTATCCTTTGTACAGTTTGCTCTCAGATCAGGCAGTAGTTTCGTTCACGAAGAATACCGCGTTATGGAAAAATCGCGTTATAATAACCAACGATGCTATGGGAAATTAATGGGTTAGGGAGTAGTAGGTTTTGAAAACACCAACATGACATTTTTCAAATAATATTTGGTAAAGTACAGTCCGCGATAACGCGTGAGATGCGTATGCAGGCTGAACAAAGACTGAGGCACGTGAGTAGCATCTATAAGCATAAAGCAGCATCCCGCCTTGTGTGATGCTACGCCGATGCAGCCGCACAATGGATTATTCCTACTCGTGCGACGTAGTTCTGTTCATTCAGTCGCGTAATATCCAATTTGCATCCGCGTCATAAAAAATGTGTTCCCTGATACATTCATCGCGTTATATCAGATTCGTGTTATGAAAACACTCGTTATAGCAGAACGGACTGTCCATGCAATGTGATATACTCTTTATGAATGATTATTTTCATTGAATTTTTAAACAGGATGACATTTCCACTGCAGGGGCAAAGCCCTGTACCTGTAGGTGTCATGAAGTAACTAACACCGAGCTGAAACCTAAGAAATGCAAGAAAAGATGTCTGCTTTGTGTAAACAAGGTACATTTATGGAACTCATTATCATGCGTGGCCTCTTTACATTTATTCAATGTTTGATCTCGTGTTTGCTCGCTTTTATTGTTTGGTTTTAGCTTTTTCCAACAACAAAACATTCAAGGGTACGTTGGTGACAAACTCATCATAATTTAATATGAATATATGACTATTCTTGAGGATATAAAATGACTACCTAATCTGATATTTTTTCATGGTAAATATATCACTGTTTATTTTCTAACTTATTTCATGGGAGTGACTTCATTGAACAACTATTGAACTTTGCATCATCTTGCCTATATCAGTCATTTTTGTCTGTCTGTGTGTCCGTCTGTCTGTCCCGTTTGTCTGTGTACGCAACTTGCAACGGATTTAACTCACAAACTGGGGTTCACGTTTAAGGAAAACTACCCAGATACCACACGCTCTAACCCAAAAACCTTTATTATGAATCAGTAGATACTACTGTAGAGTCTGTAGTTACGACTGTAGTCAGTAGATACTACTATAGAGTAAATAGATACTACTATAGATTCAGTAGATACTACTGTAGAGTCAGTAGTTACGACTATAATCGGTAGATACTGCTATAATCAGCAGATACTGCTATAGAGTCTGCAGATAATACTATAAAGTTAATAGTTACGACTATAGCCAGTTGATACTACTATACAGTCAGTATATACTACTACAGTCAATATATACTGCTGTAGAGTCGGTAGATACGACTACAGAGTCGGTAGATACTGCTATAGTCAGCAGATATTACTATAAAGATTATAGTTACTACTATACGGTCAGTAAATACTGCTGCAGCCAGTGAATACTACAATACAGTCAGTAGATACTACTGTATTCAGTAGATACTACTATAGAGTCAGTAGATATTACTATAGTTAGTGGATACTACTATAGTCAGTAATTACTACTATAGAGTCGGTAGACACTACCGTAAAGTCGGTAGATGCTACTAGAGTCAGTAGTTTCCACTACAGTAAGTATATACTGCTGCAGACTCAGTAGATACGACTACAGAGTCTGCAGATACTTCTATAGAATCGGTAGATACTACTATAGAATCGGTAGATACTACCGTAGAGTCGGTAGATACTACTCGAGTCAATAGATAATACTACAGTCAGTAGATTCCACTACAGTCAGTATATACTGTTGCAGAGTCAGCAGATACTACTGTAGCATTAGTAGTTACTACTATAGAGTTGGTAGATACTACTGTAGGGTCAGTATATACTACTACAGTCAGTAGCTACAACATCAAGAGTCAGTAGATACTACTGTAGAGCCAGATACTACTATAGAGTCAGTAACTACTGTAGAGTTGCTAGATACTACTCACTTTATTGTATGTAGGGTGTGTAGGTATATATGCCTACGCGGGGATACAAATATTTTTTGAGCGAGGGGATGTCGACAATTTTCTGAAACCTTTTAGATCAAGTATTTACCCCCCACTTTATATAACTTTTTGGACTTCTGCAAGCCTCTTATAATTTTGTTGACGGACAAACGGCATGCCGGGCTTTCACAATAGCTTAGTATTTGTGTATGTACATGTTATGTTTTTACGAGAAGTTTTGAAATATATTTTTCCCCCGGGAAACGCCGGGTACTTCCCGCCAGTCTTCAATAAAGTGGACTAAAGACCCTGTAATATTAAGCAGTATGTGTTGGTGTCACGTACACATTTGTTGACTCAATAAAAATACGTACAATTATTGTTTTGTAAACTAAATCCAGTGGGCTGAAGTAAATGCAATGTTCTGTAGAAACGTTATGAAAAACTGTTTTTAAATTAAGTTTGTTTTCGTATGTTTTAGATTTCCGGAGATATAAAAATTGGAAAACGTAAAGAAATTGAGCATCCATCTCAGCTGACTGAACAAGACCCTCCTACTCAAGTTACAGAAAGCCTCTCTGCCTTGAAAAAATCTGAGGGGTTTCATAACAACATAGACGGTGATGGAAAAGATTCTGTAATTTTACAGACTCACAAGAACACAGACGTTGTACAGGCTAATTTTGACAGTCCTGTTTTAGAGAGTATTGTACAGACTGGACCAACTGTTGATAGTCCCACGAGAGACCATAAATCCACCCCTACATGTCTGCACAAATCCGAGAGGACTCCATCTGATGAAAAATCGCTGAGAGTTTCATTGGGCGCAAATTCTGCCGATGAAAAGGCAAGTAGAACCCAGTTTGAGTCGTGCAGTCAACCGAAGCAAAGCAGCTCCCGGGGAGAAACAACCACAGAATGTGCCACAGACATCGCTTCGTCACTTGTCAGATCAGTCAAGGCCAAGGAACATGGCAGTGGCACTGTACAAAGCAGTAACAGCAAGCATCAGGCTGAGCCTTTGGAGCGTCTCCATGTGGTGTGTGCCAAGAACAGCACAGTGAGCTCTACAGGGGAGCTTGTGGTGTTGTGGACCAGGTGAGCAATATGTTGTGATTATTACGTGTGAATGTCAACAGAAAACACTAACTATCAAACCCTAGCCGATCCATTTAGAGCGAGTTACTGCGATATCTGCATTCGTTGTGGCGTCCACTGAAGGTGTTAATATTTGTGAAATGAAATAAATAAATGTCTAAATATTTTTCTGAATGGACCAATTTTCCTAATGCATGTTAAAAAATGAAAAAGAAAATCAAGCAAACTCAATTTGTCTCCAATTTTGCCTGGTAAAGCATCGCATGAGCATTGTGGCTTGGATTTACGTGGGAGGTATAATTTCCAAATGAAACAGATTTCAATGCTTCATTATGAATTCTCATTATAGTAATGCTCTGCTCCTATTCTTCTACATGACCAGCATACCACTAAGGTTGTTAACAATATCAATATACTCGACTGTGACATTCAAAGCAGGGTATTTCCTTTTTGTAGACATTTTATTATAATGATATGCTGCCAGTAATTTCTAATGTACATCAACATGCTGTGATTTTATTTGAAACCTGTTTTGGAACAAAATAATCTTTTGAACAGTATCTTTACTTGAATAGATGTAGGTTTTAAAAAAATGACTTTTGCAGTTATGTCTCATTTTCTGTTGCTTCGTGTTATTTTGAACATGTTCTGCATTACAATATTTGTTTCTTGTTTTCATATTTTTATACATTTTATGCCTTGCAAAATAAGCTCAGTGTGCCTATAACACGGCCTGGAAATGTTCTGAGTATGAAATCTATTACTAGCATTGGATTGGCTGCTATGACCACAATTTAAGCTGCTGCAGAGATGTTGTGGCATCTCTGATGGGATTATTTTTTTGTTTATACCCCGTGGAAATTGTTGGCCTGCCATTTGGAGAAACGTAATCTCTTATATTACAGCCTGGCATATCTAGTTTTATATCAGGACTTGATCTTTTTAAGACTTAGTAAAAGGTTCTTCTTACAGGTGGCATTCACTTTGTTCAATTATAATGCTAGAAATCTGCACAAATTGTCTGAAACCTTAAATAAATTGCTGGGTAACCCAACAGAAATTTTTTTCATCGAGCTAATGATGCTATCAAGAAGGTTGTAACCAGTCCAGAGTTTGCATGCTTCAACAAATGCTGCTGGATTATATTGGTCTGAAAATCAAATAGTCTGATGGACTAAAATATCTCTCTATTTGGATGTGGAGACACAGAAAAGAGTTATGCCTATATATATGCTGAACATTTTAGATCGGACAAAGACAAAGTGAAAACTTTTTGGTACATTTATCACTATTCGTGTTAAATGGCCTTGTTTGGGTCGTATTATTTATTTCATAACACATAGGTAGGACTGATGTGGTATAGAGCAGATGGTTGTTTTGGATCTGCTGGATCTCTTTGGCAGATTTATTGATGAGAGGTTCTACCAATTGCGCTCACCTGGTGGGGAACCACATTTTGTGTCACCTGATTTAACTGTGGCATGGAATATTTCATTGTTAAAGGGTGGGGAAGAACTTACTTACAAGGTACAAGTTAATGTTTCCTATGCAAGTAATTGGTTAGTTGTGTTTTACATTATGGATTTCGGGTAATCACAAACTTTATTGATGATACATTTTCAGGCCCACATTTGACTCTTGAATGCCCTCTTCATGTTTATTGGCAAATTATTTATGGTATGTGAAAAGCATGATTGTGTTTATGCACTGTTTGATGCAATTGATGAAAGCTTATTTGAAAACACAAGTGCACACTTGTATTAAGTGTCCTCATAAGGCTCCCTGATGCGTCTATAATAAATATTTTCAACTCATTTAGAACCTGATGTTTTTGATTAGTGAATCATCTTCTTGTTCCCATCACAAGAACAAGTGCGTTTTCGCCAAAAGTAGAATCATGGCAGATGCAGGTGCATTACACATGACAGACTTCAGCCTGTGGCTTTTTACAAAGGCACTCCAGATTTGTGACTCAATGATCAGCAGCGGAACATTTATATACGTTTAAAAGCATTTTCAAATTACATGTAACTTGAAAATGTGACATGTTTCCCAAACAAAACGTCACACAAACTATCGTTCTCCTGACTGTCTGTAGCCGAGGCTCCAATTATTTAAATGTTTACACTCCATTTAATCACTCAAAATAATGAAGGTAATTAAACTGTACTTCACAATCCAAGGTGTTCGTATAAACAACAGCATATGAATAGTATTTTACAATAAACATTTACAAACTCTTTTCAGACTAATCCATGTTTTTTCGTGTGCTTATAAGTAGGTCAAAATGTGTTCCTGCCCAAACAAGCATTGGTATGGCAGTTATCACATTTCGAGGCTCTATGCCAGTCGTATTTCATATTCTCATGTCAGAGGTCAATCCCTCCATAGGAAAGATACTGTTTATTCAAGTGGAAATGTATGTTCTGTTCAAACGAGCAGAGGCAGTGGTTATCTTCCATGTATAGCCATGAGCCATTGGTAGACATTTTCCATTGATCTTTCGGGGTGAGTCTATCAATAGGGTAACAACCGTTGGCTTCCCCGCAAAGTGGTACACGTTTAATTACCCCGGAGGGATGATGGACCTAAGTAAAAACCCGAACGAGGATTTGGACTCTCAACCTACTGATAGTGAGCTGCTCTCTCTACGGCTGTGCCACGTGGCTAGATTCTGTGTATGACTGCAATTGCTTGATCACACCACTACTGGTGGATATTATTACGAGCTACTCTTCCAAGCTGGCCAGATGTCTTTGTAGCGACGGGAGTGCCAGCACTTTTTACCCCACTAAGCAACCTGTCGATCAAGTGTTTGTTACTGTAATACGCGTGTATTGTACGTGGATTTGCATGTGAATTTTGATGCAGGCTCTTGTATCATTTTTGCCTTATTGTATTTCAGGGAAGCAGACAAGATTATTTTAACCACCTGCCAAGAGAAAGGAGCAAATGGAGCTACATTTACTGAAATAGCCAAACTGCTTGGTAATAAGAGCTCACAAGAGGTACAGTATTTGTGTGTGTTTTTTTAACCTATCGCTTATACAGTGTGCATTTATGCAATAAAAATCACTCAAACACGTAAATAAATAAGTAATTAGGTAGTGTACACCGCCAGTTCGCATGGGATTAAACCAGCTTTGCAAGTGCATTAGGGTGATGGTCTCAGCCCAGTCACCAATATAACTGCACAAGCAAGCCATATTAAATGTGGCTTTCCATTTAATTTGGCATATTACAGTTCCGATGATTTTTACTACCTACTGTGAGAGTTATATGATATTTTACATGACGTGGCATAGCTCACTCCAAGTTTGAATGGCGGCGTATTGGTGAGTGGACTGCACTCTCAACTCGACAGTCAAAGTTCAATTCCTGGTCACGGCTAACATCAGTGGCAAGTGATATCTGAACCGGTCATGGCTCCCTTTCAGCAACTTGTACTCACTCGCGTGGTGATGTATGATCAAACAATCCCGATATGGCATATGGGACCTTTCATCCTGCAGAGGATTGACAAAGGTGCTTTCAATTATTACAATAGGTGTTTTTTCATAATGGAGTGGAAATTTGTCTGACTTTATGTCGTGTCTGTTTAGGTCTGTATAGCCTTGGGTTAATGACAGCTGCCTCTCAAGGCAATGTTCGTCATGCCATAGTTTGCTCCTGTCTGTATACTTATTCCTAGTTGGCTGTGGTGTAGTATTATTCAAATAGGACATAAGCTTAGTTTTATTTGGGTGGAGTAAAAATAATTGCAATTGTATAATTCATACATTTCGTTATACCATGTTTGAAATGTTTAACAAATTGTAGCAATTACAATGCTTGTATGGCATAATGTAACAGAAGTGGCAAAAGTGATGAGATTATAAAAAAAGACTACCTTATCGTTGTGTGCACAGTTCTTGGATGTGTATGCCTGCAGTGGAGGCTTTTAGTCCTTCCAAATAATAAATCATGGGAATTTTTTCTGTAGGTAATGTGATGTTCATGTGTAGCTTAACAAACTTAAGAAATATACAGTTCTTAACAAACTGCAATGTACGTTTATATGAGCAATGATTCTTCAAACATTGTGTAGCAGTCGTTGTATGCCTTATACATTTTATGGAATTTCATTACACATTTGACAAATTAATATTAAATGCGATTTGTATTTTCTAAATTGATGAGTTACATCTGTTCATTTTGCTAAAGGTATTTCAAGCAACATACCATTTACGTGTGTTCTCTCACACATCAATATATCAATCTGATAAGGCCCCTCTTAACTCACTGACTCACTGTACACTGTCAAGAGATTGACTCACGAGTAGAACCTTAACAAATGAAGCATGCGTTCATTTATGGTGTGGGGTTAGAGATAACAAACCGGTGCATTAAGTAGCAGTCTTATTATTGGGATACTTGACCACAGTACTGTAATATATTGTTTGGGTCTTTCGGCAAAGTCACGTAAGACCCAAAGAATATGAATTCCTGCAGTCACGAAAGCTTTGAATCAAGATAATACTGTAATATATTTTACCCATTGCCATGGAAAACCATACAAATAAAAAGTACAACTTCTTGTAACCAAGAGACCATTGACATCCTGCTGTCCAAAACATGTTTTGTCAGACCACATCTGGATTACGGCTTTTATCAGTGAATATTTACAGATCAATTCAATCCCTCCGTATGAGTCTAATAAGAATGGCATTCATTACAATAATTGTATGAAGTAATTAAACTGTACCAGATGTATCAAAGTCTCTTTACCAAATGTTGACAGTGGACACGTACTTGACAAAATGTTATACTGGCAGGAACCTCCTGGTTACACCAGCCCACAGGGTATTATTGTGTTCTTCCGTCGTGCAGGGAGGGGCTGGGTGGGGGGTGAGAGGGAGGGGTGGGGCTGGGTGGGGAGGGGCTGGTCACCCCGTGATGCCCTTATAAAACTCAACGTTTAACCTACTCACGCCGGCGTGTGCCCGCCCTCACAGTCGGCCATATTTACGGAATACACCACGCCACCATTGACCCTGGCCATTGACCGAGCAACCCAACGTTCCTACCAGCTCCCTCCGCAGGAATGTGTTTTGGCCAGAGTATCGACACCGCACTTAAATCACTAGCACAGTCGACGCTCTTCTGCCATCTTGACAACAAATTGACAAATTGTGATGGTAGCCAGTGGTGGAAATTCCACATTCCAATGGTGGCATTACTAGGTTCATGAATAAGCAAATCCAAACACCAGGTGCTCCATTTCATTCTGTTGCTCAGGAGCTTGACCACGTATAATTAAGATTTAAAACCATAATAATAAAAAAACATTCACCAATAATACTGTGGCATTTAAAGGATATATATAACTGGTGACAGTAAAATGCAATTCGGCACGTTATTGTGTTTATACAAGTAGGTCTACCTTGAAATCACTACATTAAATACAAGATGGACCTCAAGTAAGTCTTTCTTTTTTAAAGGGTAGATACTTTGACAAAGGAGAAGCCTATATTAATAAGTAAATTGTTTATTGGCACACCTTGTTTAACATGATGATCCATATAACTTTACCACTGATATTCTTTTTTATTGAAACACAGGTATTGAAACAGACTTATTAAGTAACGCGTGGATGCTTAGCACATTGGCAAAAGGTGTGATTTGCCTATTGTAACCGTGTATCAGTGTTATTATGAGTGGCTTTAGTTGACCTGTTTATAATGTTTGTCTCTACAGGTGTCCCGTCGGTTTCGTGAGCTCGTCAGGTTATTTCACACGGCGGCAGCGGCGGTCTCTCCATGCCACCACTCAGATGAGGAGGAAGAAGAGGACAGCACAAGCAACAGCTTGGAGCCACTTTCCGACAGAGACTCGGTGGCCACAGATGATGAGATTAGCTAGCAACATTTCAGAAGCCCCAAGTATACCCAGAGTACACACCGCCCACTAAGCAGGCAATGTATGGTGTCAACTGGCAGCATTAATGGCTGCTACATTGCAAGATGTATATATTTTTTAAGCGATTAATTCATGACATTCCGTATCACCTTAAGCAAGGAGGCTATAACAATGGTAGATGGCAGCCTACAGCACGGAATGCACTGTTGATGTTAACAGATACTTTTCTAATCAAAATTAACACGAAGAAATGGCCACATTAGCAGTAGTGTGCAAACATAAATATTTAAAAACTTGCCACATTTGTCAATAAACACTGCCTAATAACATATATATTTATATTAGGTTGAAACCTCAGTCAATGTCCATAACAGTGTGCATAATTGTTTTCTATATTAGTTTCAGGCATTGGCCCTTTTCCAGTGCAGAGGAAAGGGATATTGCCCAAAATGCTTATTTTTTATATATAGTGCTCTTGACCAATGTGATTTTTTTAAATTAGTAAAATGTATATAACTTTCAAAGTGAATTAGTTTGTTGAAAAAATAGAACTGAGTTTCTACCACATATGGAATGGATTCCATCAAACTTCCAAATATTGTCAAACACGTGCATTTGTGGCCAAAGGCATGTTAATCTGCTGCACTATATAGCTCTCATGCTAACTAAGCGAATGTTTTGCATTCTGGTAGGCTTTTGTCATATGTGGGCAGATATCTCCTAGATGTTAATGGAAAAGTCATAAAGTATTCATATTCCTGAACCGGATCCGCGCCGGAAGGTATAATTATAATAATATTATACATTTATAACACCATTGAACTACTTGATTTAGTGATATTCAGCTCACGGTTTGGTATATTTTCCTAATTGCCCTCAAGATTGCTGCTTTTACCCTTATATTTTGTGAAACAACACGTTTCAGGCTGGATATTCAGTCTGATTCTCGGTGCTCTGAGACCATGACAGGAAGCTGTATAATTTCTATGTTTTTCTAAATTACTAGATATGACCTCGATCAAAATGTGTAAGTAAATATTGACATCTTTAATTTCTTCCCTGTGTTATAGTAGTTCAATTCTTTTTTTCGCACCGTATTAACTGGATATTTTGTGCAATATGTTTGGGTGAATTTTGACAATGGTGTTTTCAATGATGTTTTGTTATGGTTGCGTTTTGTTGTACATATCAAGTAAAACCCTTTAAATATTTGAAGCACCATTATAAATTACTTATGTTTTAAATGTTGTGTATTTACAATTTTGCTTATTAAAGATGTGTGATGGTGCCACTTAAAATTGAAGGAATGTCATATGTAAAGTTGCCGTTTCTTTTAGTGCTGCAAAAAAAAATGCCTGAGCTAAAAGTTGGTGCTTAAGGTAAAATGTGAAAAGTTGGTCGGCGTATTAACTTGAGTAAAACACTGCCCAGAGGAGGTGTTAATCTTCATTTAAATCTCAAATACATGCAGCACTTTAGATCTTAGAAAGCCTGGTGCTGCCGTGTTTCATACGTGTTCACGTGACTCTAAACCTGTTGTGTTACGACCAGCAGGGTTTTTTTTTCGATAATAAAAACTCCAATCCACGGTGATGTGCAGGGCACCACTTGGACGCTATATTTCGCAGGGAGGGATACCACGTGAACACTAAATTTCGGGACGCACTACAAACATCCTGGGACGTGAGTTTGCGGTGTGGTACAGATGACAGAATTGTTAACTGCGCAACTACATCAATATGCAAACAAAAAATGCGGATTGCAGGAGGACCTGGTCACCTGATCAGCAACTCCAGAAATTTTGCGACATGTGGATTTTAAGAGTTGAGCAATGTTTTTTCCCTTGCATCCAAATCGAGCACATCGGCCATGTGCCTACTATCATCACCCAGGAATGTCTGTCCTTAATGGTCGTGGTGTCAGTGCACATCGACCAGCCCCCCTCATTAATATTCATGAACAGGTGACGTCCTCCAAGTGGACACCCCCCACTCCATTATTATTACCTCCTATAATGAGCTAAGAATGTGCCACGCTCGTGACGTCACCACGTTGACCAGCCCACCATTGATAATCATGAACAGGTGACGTCCTCAAAATGGACCCCCCCCCCCCCCCATTCATAATAATTAGCGGGTGACGTCACTCCACATGGGGGGGGGGGCCGAGGCGCCTCCTCCTCGGCGTCAACTTACAACCCTCACTACAAAGGCAGAACCCTCACGTCACGTGATCTCCGTAACGCTGTTGAGACATCGAAGTAAAAAGGACGTCATGATGAACAAGGGATTATAACCTTTAAATGAAATCGGTCTGTGTCACGCGCCCTTACAAACTGCACACGCATTGATGCAATGAATATCACGTCGCGGTCTGCTTTTCGCTTGCAAGTTTCACCTGCTCATGGGTATTAATTTGGAGAGGTATGGGGTGGGGGGGGTGTCCATTTGGAGGACGTCACCTTATGATTATAATTATTAACTAGCTGTACTACCCGGCTTCGCCCGGGACTTGTATCCACCACGGCCGGCCGCCTTTGTCTCCCCATTGGCGATGTTAATACGCCACACCAGTTACTCGTTTGAGGCTGAGTCGACCTAGGGGAGGTTCAAATAATCTTGACCGGTGGTGGCCATGAGCGGGAATCGAACTGGGTTCGCCGGGTTGGTAGCGCAGCGTAGCGTTAACCACTACACCCACCGCTCCTCACACACACAGACGCACAGACACACACACAGACAGACACAGACAGACACACAGACAGCACGCTAACCACTACACTACCGCTCCCCACACACCACACACGCACACACACAGACACACACACACAGACACACACACAGACACACACACAGGCAGCACGCTAAGCACTACACTACCGTTCCCCCTACACACCACACACGCACACACACAGACACACACACACAGACACACAGACAGCACGCTAACCACTACACTACCGCTCCCCACACACCACACACGCACACACACAGACACACACACAGACACAGACAGCACGCTAACCACTACACTACCGCTCCCCACACACCACACACGCACACACACAGACACACACACACAGGCAGCACGCTAAGCACTACACTACCGTTCCCCCTACACAACACACACGCACACACACAGACACACACACAGACACACAGACACAGACAGCACGCTAACCACTACACTACCGCTCCCCACACACCACACACGCACACACACAGACACACACACACAGGCAGCACGCTAAGCACTACACTACCGTTCCCCCTACACAACACACACGCACACACACAGACACACACACAGACACACAGACACAGACAGCACGCTAACCACTACACTACCGCTCCCCACACACCACAGACACACACACAGACACACACACACAGACACACACACAGACACACACACACAGGCAGCACGCTAAGCACTACACTACCGTTCCCCCTACACAACACACGCGCACACACACAGACACACACACAATACACACACATACACACAGACATACACATACATACAAACACACACATACATACACACAAACACATACACAATACACACACACATACATACAGACACACACATACATACACACAAACACATACAGACACATACATACACACATACATACAGACACACAGACATACACATAAACACATACACACATAGTCATGACCTGGCTTTGCCCGGGACTTGTATCCACCACGCCCGGCCGCCTTTGTCTCCCCAGTGGCGATGTTAATACGCCACACCAGTTACTCGTTTTGAGGCTGAGTCCCTCCCTCGCCACTCTGCCTCCCTCGCCACTCTGTAGAGGACGTGAAATTTGTATGAATTTACCTCAGAGTGGCGTGTTGGGTGTCGAGGCCTAGCACCGTGCAGAGCCTCCCGCCTTGCCTGATTTTCCCACCCGGCGAACGCTGGGTACGGGTGCCGGTCCCCCCCCCCCCGCGCTATTAAAAATGGCGTCCACCCCGCGGCGAAAAGTTGCTACTCGTTGCCAGGGGCAACCGCCGTCCAATGAAAGCGGCGAAGGCGTCGTTAGCTGTTGCCAGGGGCAACCGCCGTCCAATGAAAGTGCGTATGGTCCGAAATCCACACACACATACACAGACAGACAGACATGCACGATTTTATATATATAGATGAGGGGGGCTGTTAGATGTGGAGTTACGTCACCTGCTCATGATTATTAATGATGGAGGAGGGTGCTCCATATGGAGTGACGTCTCATGATCATTAATGAGAGGGGGGTCCATGTGGAGGACGTCACCTGCTCATGATTATTAATGAGGGGGGCTGGTCGATGTGGAGTGACGTCACGAGCATTAAGGACAGACATTCCTGGGTGGTTTTCGTCGGTATAAGCTACGCGCGCCGGGTCTCATCCAGTGGGTTCTAACCAGAATATTATTTTACACTTCTATAAGGTGCAGCATACCAACAAAGGGCTTCAGAGCGCCGTACAGAAAATAAATCAAAATCACTCGCTTATCTCCTTCTCCATATATATAAAAAGGCAAAGTTGTGATTATGTGTGTCTGTTCAAAATGTTGAGCGTACTTCCCGACATGCAACAAACTGGAAATTTGCCATGTGGGTACTTTCCAGACTGTACACCATGCAAAAATTATAACAAGTATAACCCGTAAAAACAAAGTTTTTCACTATAAATCTTTTATATGCGTGGCGGCTAGAGTCCTCTCGTCCTCTGGCTTGAGATGGCTGCCACCTATGGGTCAGAAGATTGTCTGGCAGCATTAAACAATTGGTAATTAAATATTTTTAAAAATGTCCCTAAACAGTGTAAAATTTTGGAAAAAAATTTTCACGGAAATGCATTGTCACGCACAACGAGTCTATGTGCAAAATGTCAGCTCGATTGGATCACGGGAAGTGGGTTAAAACACGACCGAAAGATTTGCACGGTCCTAAGCAAGCAAGCGAACTTAATATAAAGGATTTAATAAGTATAACCCGTAAAAACAAAGTTTTTCACTATAAATCCTTTATATGCGTGGCAGCGAACTTAATATAAAGGATTTAAAAATATATTCGCCTGTGGAGGACACGGGGATCGATCCCGCGACCTTTGGCATGGGAAGCGAGGGCGCTACCAACTGCGCTACTCCGCCACGGCATGTGGAGGGGTTACGCTCTGGGCTCTTACACTCTGACGTTCAGCCAAAGCCAAGAATGAGTTCTATTTGAATATATGTAAAATAATTTTTTTTTGCCTAAAAAGTGTAAAATTTTGGGAATTTTTTTCACGAACATTAATTGTCTGTCACAACGAGTCTGTGTGGAAAATGTCAGCTCGATTGGATCACGGGAAGTGGGTTAAAAAACGACCGAAAGATTTGCACGGTCGTAAGCAAGCAAGCACGCAAGCAAGCGAACTTAATATAAAGGATTTAAAAATACACTTTTTTTTGGGGGGGGGGGGGGGGGGGAGAGCTCAATAATGCATAGATTTTTTGCACGGCAAGTGAGCTGTGACGTCACATCTGTCACGTGACCCGCGCACGTGGCAGCGTAACGCATTGTAGTGTAGCGGGTAGCGCGCTGCGCTACGAACCCGGCGATCCGAGTTCGATTCCCGTTCACGGCCACCACGGTTGACGATTATTTGAACCGGTCCTGGGCCTCTCCTAGGTCGACTGAGCCTCAAACGAGTAAATTGTGTGGTGTGTGAACATCGCCACTGGGCGTGGTGAATCCAAGTCCCGGGCGAAGCCGGGTAAGAAAGCTCGTTTAACATATACGAAACAAGTAGGTTTGTCGTTTGTAAGTAGGAGAATCTTAGCGTTCAGGTGCAGTTCTTCAGGCAGAGCGTTCCAAATCTGAGGGCCAAGGACCGAAAAATCTCGAGCTCAAAAATGTGTTTTGCGAAAGTGTGGCTGAGAGGAGCATGGTCGTGTGTGAGGACCTCAAACTCCTAAACGGATTGTAAAGCGCCTGCAGTTTATCGGTCAAATGTTGAGGCTATTGCTGAAAGAGTGCTTTGATGACGGTATTGCTTTTTAAGATGACGCAAAAAACATGTAACAGGCGGGCCCCGAGAAAGCTACCATCATGAAGAATGCTGGCGAACAGAATAAGCACCTCATTTGATACCCAAACACCCTAACCGCCTGACATTTACATTCCTCGAAGATACTGGTGTTCCATGAACCGCATCAAAACATCATCAACATTGCAACTATGTTCTTAGGTTTTTTTCGGTAAAGTCACGTAGGTAAAACATTTAAATGAATAAAAGTAAAATATTTTTAATTTCTTACCTACGTCGCTTTACCGAAAAAACCTAAGAATATGAATCCTTGCAGTCACGAAAGCTTCAAATCTAGAATTGCAACTATGGCCATGCAACACAAATTCTGGAACATCTCGTAAACCACGTCCGTCTGCGCTCCTTCAACAGAGACAGCAAAACGAAGCAAACCCTCTCCTGAAGCCCTCTCCTGAAGCCCTCTCGTGGCTCGCAGACCTTGACACTGGCATTTATCTCCTGAACATATCGCCATACACAACAATAGAAGAGAACCTCCCTCTTTTGGTCACGTTTCGGTGGGAGGAGGGGGCATGATGTCACGTCAGATGTCTGTGATGAATGCCGCACTTGCGCACCTGCCAGGCAGACAGGAATCCAGCCAGAAAGCAAGCCACTTTTTTGTATAGTCTGATAATCAAAATAAGTCGCGAAACAAACAAAATAGAAACTCTGCGGTACTTTAACATCTTTGCTTTACAGTCTCGTTATGCATTTATGCTATCACTTGCACATTGAATGGCTTCTTTCTGTGTATCTTCACTTACTATTTTTACTTAAGAACGTTGGAAAAAAGGGGATGAAATCACACAGTATAGTAAGTAGCGGGTGTGGTCAAAACAAAGGATCGAAACCAAGACGAGCCGAACTTTTACGGCGCGGAGAGCGCTGGGGAAACCGCACAGCGCCACGCAAGAGCAACTCTGGCGCAGCGGGAAATGCACGCAAAGGAGACAAAACGACAATTTATCCCCCACCAAATGTATAATTTAGAGGTTCGAAATTCCATAAATGCGAATATAAACGTATATCGAATTCATTCACCTGATTTGTTACGTCGTGGCGAAATGACATACTGAGTTGACCTGTAATTAGGGATGACAGCAGCTGTTTATGTTTACGATTACACCCTCATTGGAGTTAGAGATGTATGCTCTTCACTTAAGGCGGATTTGGAATCGGTCGGCAGTAAGAAGACCCAACGTGTATGCACATGTGAATACGTGATTTTTGTTCAAATTGGATAACAAAAATCTAATGATAATATTTTTTTCCACTTTTTTGTGGCAACAAAACAGGTGTTAAGGTGTTAAACACCAAACTGAAACCTTTACAATGAATCATGTCTGCATAACCACAATGCTTATGGTCAGAATGCAAACAAAACACATACTCTGATAATCTTTGCATTGTCCTTGAAACTGATTGGTCCACACCAGAGACAGCTTTGTTTTGAGCCTCGTCTCAAACGGTGTTAGACCAGAGGACCGCCAAAAGGCGTCCTCTGGTCTAACAAAAATCTAGTTTCATTAATTCAAACAGATATAAAATATTAAATAATAAGGAATAGGTTTTTATCGTTTCTGGCAACAAAGCAGGTGTTAAGATGTTCAAACACCAAATAGAAAGCTTTTACAAGAAATCATGTCTGCATTAACCACACGTACTTGTGGTGAGCATGTAAACAAAACATGCTCTGATATAACATATGCATTGTCCGTGAAAATGATTGATCTACACCAGAGACAGCCTTCTTTATGGCCCAGTCTCACCAGTGTAAACCAGAGAACGCCAAAAGGTTGCTGCTTGGTGTTTAAACATCATAACACCTGTTTTATTGCCAGAAAGGCTAAAACCTGTTCTTATTTTTTCATACTTTGATACTGCCAAAAAATGTCCCAGATATGAAATTGGTGTTTCCTGTGTTCAATTAATTAATTGCAATGTTATTTTCGTAGACATGTAAAATGTGCAATTTGAAGTATATACTTTACAGGGTGTGCACAAAGCAATATTCCGATATTAAAGAATTATAATTAGACAGCAGCTTGAGACAGACTTTTGATAACCGCTACGCCACCGCTCCCTTAATAAAACAGTGTTTTGAATATTGGATTGTGCGGGAATTAATCATCCCTCTATATCGCCACGTGTCTTACCAACGACAGTGCAGCGAGCACACTGGCAGAGATGCTGAAGCGTGTGGGTGGTTTGTGCCCCCTAGTGGCAGGCGAAAAAAACTCGGCAGGCTTGTAAAAACAATCTTTATTCACAAAAGTGGCCCCTAAAATTAGTGAAAATAGTTTATGTTTGATTATTATATTCCTGTAAGAATAGGTTTGACTCTTTCTGGCAATAAAACAGGTGTTTGGATGTCAAAACATCAAACGGAAACCTTTTGCAAGGAATCATGTCTGCACTAACCACATATACTCGTGGTGAACATGCAAAAACATACATGGTCTGATAGTTTATGTATTCATAATAGAGGTTTTTTGGGTTATATCGCGTAAATGTGTCGTTAAAAGCCACCACCACCCGACACAGCCAACTAGTAAGGGTTGTCACGTAAACAGAACGTGGCCAATTCCTCACTAGTACAGCACACCGGTGTGTTGGAGAGCCAAGCCACAACATTTACAATCTGAGTACGACGTTTCGCCAGTAATTACAACTAGCTTTATCAGGCGACAGCCAGATTTGTGGAGAAGTCCACCTGTTTCGTTCCTTATATAGAGGCGTAGATGTGTTGACCACGCTTCTGCGCTTTTGCGCAAAGTGGGGGGGGATTACTGAGTCAACGTACATTATGCATGTGCATTATTCGAGCCCTTTGAACTTGTCCTTCCACACCAACGGTAATTCCTATTGAAGTATGCTGCCCTTTTTGTCATACATTTAAATAATGTATTATTTGATGATTCGCTTCCACGCAGCACTAAGGAGGTAGCTATCCGAACGGTTAACAAAAAATTATTTCAATTTTGATAGATCCTCTAATTAGTCTTGGCCAGTAGTAGCTAGTTTTGCACATAACTTCAACATTATCAAAATCAATTGAGTGTCCTTGTTGGCACGCATGTTCTGCTACTGCTGATAGTTGTATTTGGGAGAATTTAATATTTCTCTGATGTTCTTTTAGTATCGTGCTGATCATTCGTCTGGTTTGCCCAACATAGCATTTTCCACACGTGCAGTTAATCCTGTACACACCTTCTGTTGATAGCTTCGGTGATACATCTTTTGTACCAGATATTGAGAGCTCGGGTAGAGCAGCTACATCATGGGACCTCCCTTGCCAGCATCAAAATAAAATTTTGCCCTTTCTGGCAATAAAACATGTGTTAAGATCTTGATTTGAAGCTTTCGTGACTGTAGGAATCCATACCTGATGATGGACGCTTGTGTTGCGCCCGAAACGTCGTGATTTATGTTATATCTACGTGACTTTATCGAAAGAACCAAAGGCTATGTTAAAACAACAAATTGAAACCTTTTGCAAGGAATCATGTCTGCATTAACCGCACATACTTGTGGTGAACATGCTAAAGAACTTGGTCTGATAGTATATGCATTGTCTTTGAAGCGAATTGGTCCACACCACAGAGGGTGTGGACCAATTCATTCAATGGAAGTTGATGCATTTATTTCAGCCCTCGTCACAAACCAAGGCATTAATAACACAAATATAGAAAAACACGTTTATTATGAACGAACAACTACATTGAGATTACATGAACGCACAATATGCAAATCAGGAGTTAGGCAGGGAGGTGCGCCTTCTGATTCGCACGGTTGGCTACGTCCGGTCGAAGTACAACATACATACAACATACATACAACATACATACAACATACGAAGATGTCCTAAAATCGGATTTGAGACGTAAAAATGGTATGATCATTATTGAAAGAGAATTTTAATCTCTCCAAATTGGCTGAGGAAGGCGTTATTATCACTGCCAAATGAGATGAACTACTGGAAGTGATCACCATCTCCCCTGACTTTACAAAGGAGGCAAAAAAATCTAGTTTATTTCGCATTGAGGAAAATAAAAGTCGCGTACAAAAATTTTTATTAAATAAAATAATTGTTGGATGGTTGAATATGCATACCTAGCCCAACTACTAAAGGTGGGTCGGGATCAAATGATGAGTTAAAAAGGCGAATGCATGCTTTTGGATTACTGAATTTGACAACGAAAAAATACAGGCCAATGTGCTTCACGAACAAAGTATCCAACCAGTGTATGTATTACCTGCCTGCTGTGAATATTTGGATCATAAAGCCATTGCAAAGAATATGGAATAGAGGCTCTAAAGTACGCAAAGCGTGGAGAAAAACAAGTTGAGCATTATTACATTGACATAAAGTTAATCAGGGAACAAACACAAATCAGATCAATCATATCGACAGATACTGGAAAGTAAGTGGTCTTGGTAGGACACAATGCGAGATGGGATTATGGCCGATAGATGATGGTGATGTAATGGCAGCCAAAGAGTAGTGAATTACTACCCCGGAGAAGAAGCGATAAGATCAGCTTATGTGCAGGAGTGAGATGAATTGTGATCTTGAAGAAACACAAAGGATGGTGTTTGCATGGGGCGGCCGTCCAGCAGTGAATCATGGTTGCTGCTGATGACGAAAAAGACAATATTTATAAATATACAATTGATAGTGCAATTCTGCATATTTGCAAAACAAAACATCTGCAGAGCACACGTGTAATTGCATGCCCAAAATTCCACTTAATATGTGTGTTCCTCTTTACAACCGTGTCATTGACGAATGCAATTAGTTGATGTTATTTGTGCTCGAGGGCCTATGCCAATGGAGCATCATAATTTTCGTGTTTAATTTTAAAGACAGGGAATGGAAAACAGCATTCATCATCCAAACTGGATTAAAAATATAGAAACATACAATAAGTGCTATACAACAGTACACATCTTACCGAAAAATGCTCGTGATTTCAACGTACTATAATCCAAGTGTCAAAATACAAAAAAAAACAAGTCTGAATGGCTCCTTGTGCACCAGAGCAATGGTGCGTGTTTATTTTCTATCGGCAGCCCACCGAGAGTGGCAAAACGATGGACACTTCCATGGCAGGGACAGGTCTATCCAAAGTAATGCCTGACATTACCATGGATGGTGAGGAATGCATCTTTAAAGTGAGTTACCGTATCTCTCTGAGGACATCAAATATATTTGTTGGGAACAAAAATCATGTTTTTTTTTTTGCAATTTTATTCCATCGTTGATAATTCAGCAGGGTATACATATTCAGTTAATATTCAGTCCGTCAGCGTCTTAGCTTTCCAGACCAATATTATCCAGCAGCTTTTTCTGAAAACACACTCTGGACTGATGTTAACCGTCTCGGTCTCATCAGTCAAGTCAAGCTTTGTAAACAGATGCATTATATTGGTCTGGAAAGCCAATAGGCTAATAGACTAAAACAAACATTTATTATTACGTGGATATACTTTTTGGAGTTTTGCTTGTATACACGTTTACCCATATTGTTCCACAACAATGCACACTGAGTTTGTATACAAATATACATTTTACTCGACAGGAATATGTGAAAATGGATAGATTGACAGCTATGCTGTATGCCCAGAAAATAAATCTTTCTTCTTTCCATTTGCACCCGTACTGGAGGTTTAAATCAAGTGTTTGCCACCGTAGAGAGATGCTGCTATGCCAACTTAACATTCGACCTGGCCCAGTTCGGCTGTACTGACAGAGATGTGCATTTGTCGGCTGGGTTTCAATAATTAGAGTGCTTCACGTGAGTTTTAATCCAGGTTGCAGTCAGATTAACAAGGTGAGCAACGCGTCTATGACTGCAATTACAGTTCACTAAACATATTCAGCTCCTGGAATAGCCATATTTATTAAATTTGCAGTTTTGCCCCACTGGCTCTTCTTCTTCCTCTTGGTGTCGTTCCTGTGCTGGCACAAGCGTTTCAAGACCGATTCAATTGCATCGGAAACTGTATCAGGATCAGGCGCCACGGTCAAGGCTACTGGGGTGGGACGGTTGGCCTTTTCCACAGTGCGATGGCAATCGGGATGTTCAGCAGGAGCCTCTTTGTGTCGCCTGCCTCGTGATCCGTTTTTCTCAGAGACGTCCACGTCGTTACATGCCAAGTGCTGGTTCCTTTCCCCCCCCAGGATTGTGTTAATACTCCTGAGGCTTCTTCTTCTTCTTGTGTTGGATCGATGGCCATCATTGCTTGCCATTTTCTGTGAGGGCTTCCCTTTACACCGCCAATTGATTGGCTCATCGTCTCTAGATGCGTCTGTGAAGAGAACATGAATTTATATACAATTTCTGATGCTTTTGTATTTATTGGCTTAGGAAATAGTGTCACGTCCCCGCTGCAGCATTAGATCAGTGATATCCAAGAAGCTACAACTCACTCCATGGAATAAAATTAGATTTGTTAAAGTTGGCAACGTTTTGCTGCCGACAAAGCTGTGGCATGTGAACATCTCTGAAGTTCCTCGGGAGACAATATAAACAAATAATCGTCACCATCATCAGCCATGATCAACCCACTGCTGGATGAAGGCTTCTCCAAGCAATTGCATTTCTCACGATCCTGCAATATAACCGTCTACAAAAAACACTTGCACATGGGCTGATTTCATTGCTCCATCTCCTCTGTGAACATCCTCTTGGCACGTTCCATTCCTAGGGATACTATGGCTATGAGTGAGGCTACACGGCACTGCAGATGTGCAGTAGAGAGTATAGAGTAAGGGACTATACCTTTAATACAACCTCCCATGGGTCAAAGTGAGATTTGATTTAAGTGACGGTCCGAGTTCAGGTGTTCACATCGTTGGTGTTTCTTCTGAATTACTTAACAGTGTAACGGTGTAGGGTATTCGGCTCGGAATGTCTATTTGTGCAAATACTTTTATTTTCTTCATAATTATAACTCCAGTGCCACAGTGAAGTCTTCTCGCTTTCGGCTACAATATCAGCAAAGTGATTACACATGTACAGCCCTTTGTCCATCCTCTACTGAATAAAGGGCTCCCCATGGAGTGAGTCACAGGGGGTTCATTTGGCCACTATTGTATCACACTGGTCAGTGAAAGTTAGTGAAGGTGGGATAATAATATTCATGAGCATAGACGTATCGTACACATATTGATGTTCCTGCACAACCCCTCTGCTGACCACCACATTAAAAAGTAACTATTTATTTTCTTGGATAGTTTCAGATTTACTGCAGTGCCAAAACATGAATGCTAAATAAGATAATCTTAAATTCTGTCAATAATGAAAACATCCTTACAGTATACTTTGAGTTAGTTATTTTACAGACAGGCTTATAAATTACATCAAATGCTGGGCACACACATACACTTCTAAATATGGAATATACGGTACATACCTGACGGAAATTCATTGCATCTTTGCTTCCTTTCCCACCCTTTGTTGTGCTTTCTTCCATCTTTAAATTGAGCCGTGGAATTTGAGCAATGTCTGGAACTCCACTGCTTGGAAACATTGTCCACAAAATTAGTCTTCTTGGGTGTTTTTCCGCAGCAATCAGATTCATCTTTTCGTAGAGTTTTGGCTGCATTTGCACTCAAAGAATATTTGTAAATGCAAGCATCGATGGCTTCAAGAACCGAGTCATTGGAAGGGCCATTCTTAGTCCACCTCAAAGTGTTTGTGGCTCTAATATGGGGTTTATCTCCAGAGCACTCAGATGTTTTGGAAGATTGAGCATGCATGTGCTGTGCATTAGAGACGATTCTGGGCAAAGTCTTGGGGCTTTTGTGAAACTTTTCCCCAACACTGTTCCCTTTATGCTGCCACGAAACACTGTGGTTTAAGTGTTGCTCACGAGGGAATGCACCTTGAGGAGGCCTGCCCACTGGTAAGCATTGGCCCATGAGACATTGTGCATCTCTGGCTTTGCTGAACTCTGCCAGGTTTTGCCCTTGCTTATGCTTGTGTGTTGAAGGCGGTTTGGACAGCTTGCTGTTTGTGCTGACACTGCTGCAACTCTTATAACTCCGACAATGGCTGCTCACAGTTGCTTGATGGCACTGCTGGATTTGTACATTTTGCAATGTAGATTTCACAGTGGTTGCCTGATGATGAAGGTCCTTCCCAATAAGGTCAGGGAAGGGATTTGAAAAAAATATTGGTGAATATTTGGGTGTAAATAGCTGTCCGTCACATCCAGGGCCTCGTGTGCTGGGCATGTACCGCGATGACTGCAGATGAAAATCATCAACATTGCTGTAATAACCAGCGTCATAGGAAGTGACGGTTGATGAACTTGAAACACTGCTCTGAGAATTCCTGAGCTGCTGAAACCCAACGCTGTTTTCCTGGTCCACTGACCTTGCTGCACAATCCACAGGCGCAGGTGAAAGACAAATGGTCATGAAATTTAGCTTAAACATGCTTGGCAGAACATCTGCAGAAATACACGAGCGCACTTTGTGAGATATCTCAAACTTGGTGAACTTCACCAACAGGCCTCTGAGGTCAGTACGGAAATCTGGGATTCTTTGGGAAACGTGACGAAGGTGCTCTTCATTCCTCTTTTGCCTCTTCATCTTTGGCTGCGAGCCCGTCGTGAGAATCGTGCGAGGATGTTCCAGTTTGTGTGCGAGAACCTGCTTCACGTCGGGGCAGACGACAGGAGCAGAGTGCGTTTGCTGCTCCGGGCTCGTCTTTTTCACACCTCTCCTGCGTTTGATGCGGCCCGATAAACCATTGTTGTTGTCGGTGCTTATCCCGCTGTCGCTTGAGGCCACGCTTCCACCGCACGACGAGATGACGGCCGCCTCGCTCACCATAGCAACACCAGAGCTCGGCACGCACCGCTTGTGGGGTGACGTCTCAATGTGTCTTGGAAACCTTTCACCTCGTTTTTCCATCGCAGGTCTGGCCAAGTCCCACGCACCACTGGTAGCTGATGACACATCCTTTGATGTCACCGAACCACTTCGAATCTGTCTGCCACCCATGTATTCCGCCGACAAACACACGCGGCCGTCGGAAAGTGCCCTTCCTAAGTCTTTTTTGGCTTTAGTTTTGTGGGAATTGTCAGCACGTGCAGACGAACAATCGCTTGGTTTACGTCCTCTCTTCCTGCCAGTGTAAAGTGTGCCTTTTTTGCTTACATTTAACTGAAAATACATTTTTGAGTCAATAATTGTTGATGATGTTGAACCAAGTAACTGTGTTTGCATTTCTCCAGGATAAACGTCAGTGGCATTGCAAAAAATCTGGCCCAACGTATGTTTTCTTTTCATGGATTTCATTTTGTTGCTGTTTCCAATTAATTTTCTATCCAAAAGCTCCCTCAAATATAGTTCTTTCTCTTTTCCCAAATCTACGAAGCCTGTATTCTGAAGAGGTGCAGCCGTCTCAGCATCCAAACTGCATTCCTCAAAACGTCCCTTTCTTTCACATTTTGACACTGGCCGGGAGACTCTGTAACCTGTGTGACATGAGCTGGAGTGGTGAGGAGTGGCATTAGCATTGCGGATGGCACACGCAGGGGAGGGCATTGTGTTTTTTGCAAGTGTTTGGTTTCTTTTGTGTGAGTTGCCTTTTCCCCTTCCAGTAAATGAAGAGCTTTTGCGCGCGTTCACAGATGGATTGGTTCGTAAAAAGAGGCGATTTGATTTTGGTTTCCTGTTCATCGATGAAATAACAGCTTCTTTCAGTGAGCCAGTGACAACGGGATTCTCAACTGAAGTTGTATTTTCTTCTGTTTGCGTGCAGCATTTTCTCTTTTCAGGCGACACTCTGTTCATGTCAATAGAAGTGTTCACGTCTCTGTTTATAGCCACTGGAAACGCAGAATAATCACTCACATCATTCTGCAACACCGTGCTATTTGAGTGTCTATTTCGCCTTGGCAGTTTGCGCACTCTTGTTACACACTTGGTTGAACCAGTAGGTGAAGTGACCGATGATGGGTACTTTGTATTTTGGATAACTTTACTGTCTGTAGATGTCAATGACGTTTCCAGATCATCCAGTGCCTTTGCTCTCTTAGCGACATCTCTGTGCACAGTCACCTTACGCGGCCCGTTCTTTCTTGTTAACGCGGATGCACACTCTGACTGCGTGTCACTCGTTTGCCTTATACGTGGACCAAAACGCTTCCAAGATCCATCCGTTGGAGAGGCCTTCAGTGCAGAATTACGTCTCGCTTGTGCTCGCCGATAAATGGGCGAGCGCGGCTTTAGTTTTGCATTTGACACCACTAGCTCCCTGTCTGTCGCATCTTGGATGGCGGCAGCCTTGGCACGGATGCCGCAACGCGTGTCCAATTTCGTCTGAGCACGTTTACTGGAGCCAGCATGCTCACGCTCAGCATTGATCACATCTGGACTGAAGTTGTGGTCGTAGGCTTTGCAGCCAAAATTGACAGAGGTTTTCATCTGGACTTGGTATGCAGTTTCAGCAACCGTCTCAGAAATCTCCACCACTGGCTCAACCTCAATTGGAACAGTGGCACTGTGTGTTTCCGGAATGTCTCTGAATGCAGGGCAGTCCTGGGCTGTCATCACACAAGCTAAGAGGAGCAAACTCGTCTCTTGCCTGTGACCATCTACGCTATAGGTGTCTGAATCTACACCAGTCGCCAAGGCCTAGTACGGAGCCCAGTGACGCCTTAGCGTTGTTAACAACCAATTCGCTTGAATCATCTTGTGAATGAGCAACACATTGTTTTTGTAAATCCTGACAGACTGATTCAAGACCCATAACATCCTCTTGTAGTTGACTGCACGAGGCAATGGAGGTTGTCTTTTTGGAAACTTCAAACTCATTACTGTCAATACATATGTCGCTCTCCACCGTATTTATTTCTTTACAATCCATCTCTCTCCTCTCAGAAACATCATGAACCAGGACATTATTTATCTCGAAATGAGTTTCCTCCGCTGTTTCTTCTATAACAAAATCACCAGATTGTTTGCTCTCACAAGCATGCTGATTATTTTCTTCGATGCAGAATGACATGGAATCTGCGTCCAGGATCTTCAATTCGGATTGCCGGAGGCATGTGATGGAAGGCGCTGAGTGACACATCTACAGACATGGCTTTATCGCTTCTGTCCATGCTTGCTCAGCACCTCACAACGTATTATCTGTGTGGACGGTGCTGAGTTTAAATGTCATACACTAGTTGCTTCCAATACACTGGGATCTTTGTGATGCCTAGGGTTAGGAAGCATGCCTTTCACACCATTGCTTCTTTTCTCTTCCCTCTTTAAAAATCCAGCAGTGAGTGAATCCTTTCTCTCCAATGAATGATGGCCGTGACATTTTTTCTTTTCACATCAGCTCTGACCCTGTGCGCTGAGCATTTGGGAATGGGCAACAGAAATAAACACATCGTCAGGAATGAGCACATTTTCTCATGGACTTGAAAAAAATCGCAACTCTTTTATTTCGGACAAAGTGTGCCTTAGAAATCACAATGGAAATTCCAAGCGGCATCAAGACACGTTTTGTTTATCTGATGATTGATTAGTTGACCCTAACGTTCACAAGTTCACCAGAGCCTGCAAGGGCTCGCAAGTGTACATTGTTACGTGTGCTTGGATATCGCTAAAAAAAACTCGGGGGGATCACATTGGAAGGTGCTAATGGCCTCGATTGTCCAATGGACATTGACGTCAAAAATCAAAGCAAGCTTTGGTGCTCCTCATTTTCCTTCCGATATTAGGAAGCCACTGGAGATATGCACTTTGAAATCTAGATTGAAAACGAATTTCCTTAGAGCTGCTTTTTATGTTTCGTTTGTTGTCCTTCCCCCCGCACCTCCAATTAGCACAGTTGGCTACGTACGGTGCAAAATAAATTCAAAATACATACGTTAAGTATATTGAAAGAGATGGAGTTAGGAAATAATGCCAATTTTGTGTTTTCAAGCAAGTTATTTTTTTTTACAAAATGAACAACTAATTACTCAAACGATGCACCGCAGTTGAGCGACAGGTCGTACGTTATGGGTTGAAGTGTGGGTATTGCCACCCCTCTCAGGACATCTGAACAGCCTAGAAGAGTAGGCCGAAAATATACCCTCTAGTGGAGGCTCTTCCCCCAGTAGTTTCTTGAGCAAGTAGTTGCATGGCTGCACCTTTAATGTATTGTTTTAATAAATAGGTTACATGTTGTTCATCAAACCCAAACAACAGGGCTTCCTTCCTCTGTCTATTGTGCCCTTGTAAATACAGTGCAAATACAGTGTAAATACAGTGCACATACAGTGCAAATACAGTGCAAAGATGATGCATGCAGAGGAAGTAGAAATGGATGGATTCATCAGAGTTGAATCTGGAACCTGCCCTGGGCTGGATCATGAGGAAAAATGGATTGGGAATGATTTTCTGATCAATGAGTTAACACGTTTACATGCATAAGCATAGCATTTAACGCAGGCTCTTCATAAAATCTAAATTAAATTTAAGTACTTTGAGTGTAGTGCCTAAAACCACTTTTCTTACCCCATATCTGTGAGGGGAGTAATCTGGGTCATTTTCATACGATAATGTAGGTTCGTGTATATAAAATATGGTTGATTTTCATCCGATCCAATCTACATTTCCATGGATTAGCCAAGTCAGTAATGTTGTCTGATCCGGAGTGATTAGGATTGTATGTAAATTATTTTGTTAAAATGTAGTGCATGAATAAAGTAATGCATGAACAATGTTCATGTCATGTTTGTTACACGTGGTAGTAAAATGGAATAGCTGGAGAAAACCTACACATGGGAAACAGCACTCAGGCATCCACAAGAAAGTTAGAATAATAAAACATCCCACTTGCTGTGCTGTCTTCTGGCCACGTCACATCCCAATAAGTTTGGGAGCTTCAAAAATCACTGTGTAATCCACCGAGACCTGTTTCCAAAGCACTGTTACACAAACCATGCCACCGGATTAAAGCAGGGCTAAACGATGCACCATTCCATCGACGACTATCAATTGCTAAGGCTCACGATACATTCAATTGATCACATTTCAAATAATCTATATTTTCTATGTGTTTGAAAACTAAATGTAAATTATATGATGTTACACTTAGACTAATGGAGGGAACAAGCCTTTACAAACGGGACAGAATAGGATAAACAAAAAAATATATACAATGAGACGATATAGTTGAATGACAGCCTTCGATTGTGACTTGATGAGTTGTGAGAAGTCATCTTGATTTTTATACATGATTCTTAAGCATATGAATCAAGTTCATAAAAGAGATTGATGCACTTTGCTTGTCAATTGTACAGATGCATGTACGGTAAATAAATATACATATCTAGGAAAAAAAACTGCATCACTGCTGACTCAGCAAGGTAGAGCGCACTGTTCACGATTTACTTATCAGAAGTGAATTTGGTATTTTTACATTTTGTTTGATGTTTTATCGACGTAAAGTGTTTATAATTTGTTGTATTTAACAGCCTGTATAATTATTATTACAATTTAATGGTTGTCATTTCCACTTACTTAATTGCAAAGAGGACTGCATTTAATATGACCTAGCAAATTCAGCGTTATCAAATATTAATTTTCATCACATGCAGTGACGTTCATTGCCATCCAATTATACAAACCCCAGTCGGCATGTCACGTCGTTAATTGGGTAAATTCCAATAACGATAGTACGCCCCTCCTGCTAATTACTGCCCTTTGAAATGGTAGTGACATCATACATTTGTACACGTTGACTGGGAACAAAATGTTTGGCTTCATCGCCTGTGTTTGCAAAAAAAAAACGAGTGATTTGCTTCCTGCTGTGACGTTGCAACAGCCTAATGAGACGGTGACGACTTATCACGACTGGTGACTCTGATGACACCGCTGACCCTGATGAAGTATCACTCACCGCGTCAACTGCAAACACTTGCCGTTGCCAGTGCCTCCTGGTAAATCTCAGCACAATGTCAAACCCGCAACCTGACAGCACAATAGATACGTCGTCAGAAAAGTCACTTTGTGAAAATTAAAACAATATTCGATGCCCATTCAGTGTGTGTACATTCCTTAGGACGTTGATTTACAAATGTAAAATTATATTCTTTATTGAATTTCTCTTAATGGAAGATCATAGATGACATGTGACGTTACATGGGTACAATAAAGACCTGTCTATTCATTAGTTGTATAATCCAGTCTCAAATATGCCATGATTTGACTTTAAGCAACACAAATTGTACAGGTACGGTGCTCAAAACACAAATAATTTACCTCCCTAGATGTATTTTCCCGAAAAAAACGTAATTTTTCCAAAAAATATATGGACATCCATGAGTACCAAAGTTAAATTCTACATTGGGGCAATTTAAGTGACTTCGTGACAGTTACGTTGACAAAGAGTACAGCATCAATAGATGTGCACTTGTGGGCACATTTTGGTGAGCAATCTTGCACATTAACAAGTTTAGTACATTGCATCACACCGTATTTTTTTTAAGGATAAGAAAATCCAAAGAAAACTTTTACGAACCTTCAAGCAATTCAAAGCATTTCAGAAAATTCTGTAATCCGCCGTAAACTTTAAAGAGTCAAAGTGATTCCTGCCCATATAAGTAGTCACGATCGAGTGTTTACAGCTCCGCCAGTGGTAGATTCCATGGCAGTGGCGAGGCTATTCATAGTTTGTTTAACTACTAAGCTTTTGCAACCAATATTATCCATAATTAAGGGGGGGTTTTGTTGGGTTAGATCGCATAAATATAAATGTGTCATTAAACCCACCACCACCTTGACACAGTCACCAGGGAAATGTCTCAACTCGAGTTGTAAATGTTGTGGATTTACTGTCCAACACACCGGTGTACAGAAGTAGTAACTATTTGGCACTATTCATAGTTTACTTCCCCACAGAGTAGCAGTGTAGTACTAGTTTTATCGACACCAGAAGGATGATGGACTGAGTTGACCCCCAACCAGGATTTGAATGTGCAACCTTCTGATCCACTTAGCCGGATTCTTTAAAAATACAAACAAAGTGTTTCATGTTCCTTCAAAGCAATATAAAGTATCATACCCAATTCCATTATCCACCCTAGACTACCAAACCTAGATACATTTAAAAACAAGCTCCTTTAACCCATGATGAAAGAATGGTACTGAGTGTTTTTTTGCAATCATATTCTCCACACGTAGGGATCACCGATGTGATGCAGTATAGGATGAGCCATGTCCGAAACCAAATAAAGGATGCACGTCGAAAAAAATAACATTTCGCAGAATCATCCTCATTTTGTCACATCCATGCAACCGGTAGGTAACTGAGGTCTTCTTTTTACCACTCACTGTATTGGTGGCCTGATCTGAATGAGATGAAATGTGTTAGTTCCACACATGGACTACTTTGTCTACAAATATATTCATAATTGTCTGTTATCCATTGATTTGAGGATAAGAATCGACCCACAGATACAAAAATAAAATCCGCTGTAGATGGTTTGAGAGCCCACATGTTAAAGATGTTTGATATAACGGCTGTGAATATAATACCTCCATGCATCTGTATAAAGACAAATGTAACGTGTAGGCAATGTCTTGCGCATGCCACTGTTGGCAGAAGAACCTCCACTAGAGCTCCAAAGAGTCCCTCCTATACATGGTATTTTATCCCACTCTTCCACGCTGCGCTGGCCAGATATATTTAAACAGATGGGGTCGAACCACACCTTACCCCACCATACACAACCTGTGGTGATGAACCTATTGATTATACTTCTGGGCGATTTCCAACAATCACTTCATGAGATCGAGCTTGTGACATCTGATTTGCGAGCCCACTATGTAAACCATTACGCCACGGCCCCATTTCGAACTTATGTCCACGATTGTATAAAAAGTTCGACACACAAGTTACATTTACAACACTCGACAGCTCAGAATACACACGTAGTTTACCTCTAAAAAGAATGCTCACTCATGAAATTTGCATCTGGCCACCTTCCAGTTTACAATACAACATGAAACACAGACTGCTGTATAATACCACAAAAAGTTGTACTGTTATTGCGCGTAGATAAATCGACTGAAAATATGTAACAATGGGATACGTGACTAGTAAGAGACTACTTCTCAATGTTGTTAATATTGTAATATAACTCCGCTATTGTTTTGCTAAAACATGTTTTACATTGCTGCAAATATGACAATGGTAAATAGTGACTACACGTCCGCTTTGTGTTACAGTACACATTATTTGTATTGTGCTGTATTTTAAGAAGCACATTAAACTGAAAATGGCATTACATAAGTGCCTGTAACGGTGTGGATATGATCCACTTAACACATTTTCACGAAAAGAAGAACACATGGCAATGCTGAAATCAGCCTTTGGTTCCTAAAATCAGTCTTGCACTGACAACATTTGCAGACCAAACCACATTATTTCAATTGTCCATGTTACAATATTCAATTTCAAATTAGCATCAGGGAGCCATAGAACACAATTGCCTCTCAATGGTAACACATTCATAAACCTCAAAAATAAGCTTACCGCTTGTCTCAATCAACTGCAAAGGAAAGCACACACAAACAAACTCACTGCTGAACTTACTGCACAAACGTCACCACTTTCCAAAGTGGCAGAAATGTTTTCCGGGCAGTGAATACACCTCGGATCTGTTGTTACAACAGAGAGGGCATGAATACGTGTCTGCCTCTTTCTCCTCTGGGCACACAGCGAACTAATAAGTCAATAGCAGCAGCAAGACACTTTAAAACTATCCCTGCCCCCCCCCCCCTTTTTCTTCCATCTCAATCCCACACACCCACACAAACAGAGCCAATCACGACAAAAGGCAGCACGGCTCCCCGACTGCCAGTCAGACAAACATCAACGATTCCCCAAAGCAGCACAAACACCCCACACAGACAGGCAACACCTCCACAGCACACATCATTGAGGTCACAGCACATGTCCCTGAAGCGTTTGGATCTGCTAAATGACATCGGCCTCTGGTGGGTCAGTCTGTGCCGTGGGCGGCGGTACATAACAGCTACAATTCTGCTGTTAAGACAACCTGGCAGTGCTTTACTTCGCAATGTTTCAATTGTGCTGAATTCTGACTACTAATACTATGAAAACTAAAACCTATGAACATTTCCTTTATAAGTTACTAGATAAGGCCCACTGAGCTATATCTATATTTTTCAGAAGCGATCTGGCCACATGATAACTCAAAGAAGGTGCTTATCATGTGGGCATTTATAGTAGGCAATTACTCTATCCAAGTGTTCTTTACTTATTTGCATAGGGGAGGGCACTTTCGCCGATAAGACATCAGTGTGAGGGCCGTCACACATTTGAAACCATTGGGTTTGACAGCATGATGGAATGTTTTCACATTTGTGTATTGTCGGGGGCTGCACGCCAGGGGCCACTCTAAAGGCAATGAAAAACACTGCTCTAAACTGTTGTTTCTAAATGTTGAGGGAAAACCGGAGGACCCGGGAGAAAAATCCACGTGACCACGGGAAGAGAACATGCAAACTCCTGTATACCAGGCGAGGTAGTTAACATCTCGCCACCGTGGCACTCCAATTCATAATTTGCTGCCATTTATCAATCTGCTGCTTGTATGAGGGCCTCTCCATGCCATGTTGGTTGTGGGGGGTTTCTTTGACCAAACGGCATGGTAAAACGACCAATTCACCATGCTCGTCGGTACCGTTTGGTCAAACAAACCCCCAAAACCAACATGACATACATGACAGTGAGCCCTCGTAACTGATCCAGCATGGGGAGGCCTTCGTCCATGAGTGGATGTGGCATGAAGGCCAGCACTGGTTGGCGAAGATGTCCAGAACCAGTGAAGATAACCCTTGCCCCTGCCGTTAGCTGTGGCTGTGAATCAATTTCAGTTTGCTAGGTTAATTGCACAGTGTGCAAACCATTGTCCCACCACTCTACAAAGGAGAACTACATTACAGTACCGCAAATCACTAACATAGGAGGGGTACATTACAGGACTGTACGCAAATGCTACACTTCTCGCAAAGTATTTCTCCAGAAGCCATCAGTGTCGACCATTGCGAAAGTCATAAATGTATTACTGTATGTTAGAAGTTAATACTGTATGTTCCTGAAAGATCTATGACAACACTATTGGCAAGTCCCCTTATAATACCGTTGAAAGTGGGTCACTGTTACAAAATTAGAAAGTGGCTTATATAATGCAGTTTCTGTTGCCTGCAAATTATTTTATCTGCAAGCCAAGCCCATTTTCCTTCACTGTGGGTAAAAGGAGCCCTATTGAGATTGATACAAGAATTATACATTATTTCATATTTAATTTAAACAAACATTGCAATAAACAGACGTAACAATTACCTGCCTTGATGTATAAATTGCATAACATATGCTCTTTTACACAGTACTCATTTCATTGTCCAAAATATTGTTTCTCTGCTACAAATATTTAACAAAATAATTTAATTCAATAAACTAATGAGACCATCAGATCGTCTAAAAGTTCATACACCTTCTTCGACAACAGTGACACATGCATTACTGGATTTGGAATCCCATTATCTCTTGTGGGTCGTATACCTTTTGCATATGGCAATTACATTGACAAGAAAATCCTTTGTGCTAAATCCTTACATGTGACCCCTGTCACAGCAGCTGTGTATTATCGATTAAATGAAGCCGCAAACAGTCACATTGTTGGCACATTTAATGAAGTTGCATTTTATAGGTGTGGGTAGACAACTGTTTATCAATGACAGCTGGGTTACCGGGCAGAAGGGAAGGACAGCTGAAAAAACATGTGCCGTGCCCAAGTCAAATAAATATTGGCTGAACATTGCTAAATGCAAGATGGTGAAAACCTATTGCCAAAGTGTAAATGTGGTTATGTGCATAAAAGTGTCATGCTTGGGAAGGTTTGTAAAAAATGAAAGGATTTTGCCACAATCGTGGGTATTCTGCACGGTATAATGGCTCCGCACATGGGCCTGCGAACCAAGATTCGCTGGATCGTATTCCTGGCATGACGGTTAAATGTATGGGCAAGTTTATGTCGTGAAAATGGTCACACCACAGTTAGCCGATCGGGCGGTTGTGTGTGGTGGGGTAAAGCGTTGGCATTCCCTCATCTTCCAAGACGTTTGGCCAACATGGGAAAGAGTTGGCCAAATACACCTGAAAGATGGGCTCTCTAGCGCTCCCTCTATTGGAGGCCAACAGTGGTGTGGACAAGCAATTTCAAGGCTGCACCTTTATCTTACCACGATAACCGTGGTGGTGTGTGTAATCAAGCAGAAGATTACACTCATTAATGTGAAAAATAGCAAACAACAAAACATATCTGCATACTTTAAACTGTACTAGAAAATAAAATGTTTACATTTTACGGTCCATTCCTTACATTGTATTAATCAAGCATACTGTAAATGTCAACAATAATTGAAAAGTTCCTGGTGATGGGTAGTAGCTGGACTGTCAAGGTCAGGAGATGACCCAAATAAATAGCATCGATAACCAAACTCTGAATTCTTGGTTATGTTCAGATGAGACTCGATCATGTCAGGTCCAATCAAATTCTGAAATTGATTCCAAGCTGATGCACTCTCAATCAACCACCGTCATCACCTTAATTATTAGCAGCATCGCCCCTATTAATAACATAACGAATGATGGCACTGCAACCTGCCAAGGGCTGCTCATTGAGTATGCCACCTGGCTTCAGATCTTCCAACTGGACGCCGACCTCTGGATGCCACTCCCTTGCTCGATTCGTTAAGCTGCCCTCCTGCAGCTTGCACACACAAGTTCCACCTATGGCTGCTTTGTTTTTTTTCTGACTGCATCTTTCCTATGTTTCATTCCATGAACTAAAAACTAAACTACGAACTAAACTATTTTTATTTTACCAAGTAAGGCCCACTGAGCAACCTGGCCACAAATAATAGTCGAAACGAAGTGGCTTATCATCTGGAAATATATAACAACTAAATAGTCTAAACGCATGTTTCTAAATGTGGAGGGAATAACCGTAGGAGCCTGAAAAAAATCCACGTGACCACGAGGAGAGGAAGATGCAAACTCCAAATGTACAACAGGCGTCAGGGTCTGGTTTGAACACAATACTTCCTGTATACCGGACGAGGGAGTCAACATCTCGCCACCCTACCTTTACGTGAAATTTCGTAGCACCGGCTGCATGGACCTATATTCAAGGGCAAAGTACAATCACCATAGTCAAAATGCAACACGAATTTTCATAATTTATAAATTAATAATGACTTTCCCCAACAGACTATTGCCTTCCCAGAAGTCTCCAAAGGAAAATGGATAATACATCTAAATAATTAGAGGACATGTAGAGAACTGGTCAGATGACTGGTTAGAGGACATTTCACAACAGATCATGACTTATTGGGATTTGGGATCATGGGGAGTTACAGCAAAACAGAAAGTGTTTAATGTGCAACATAAAGTAGAAGACATATGTAGTTAATGGCAATTATAGCAAAGGACACATAGGGAGAACATGTGTTCAAATACGTATTTTTTTTTATAAATGAAAATAATATAAATTAGCTAAAGTAGCAAATAAGTAGCGTAAATAAGTAGCATTCCCAGTTACATAACCCAACGATGAATACAAGTGAATTGATTGGCATTTTAAATAGCAAGTAGCAGCAGCAACAGTAGTTGCTTGTTGTGCATATGCTTTTGTTTCTTAGAGTTGGCAGGCAATTATCCATGATCTTACTTATGGCAATGTTCCTAATATGCCATTAGCGGACAAACCCGTAGGTTCCAGCAATAAATCACTTCCTTTGCATTTGTGAGTTTTGAGTTCAATTGATTTTTTTTACATGGATTATCCCGTTTAGCCAGTTTCCCGGCTATTTAACAAGGGAGATCCGTTGTGCGTGAGCACTGCAACCGAAAAAGATACAAAACATCAACATTGTAGATAGTTAGTACAGGGTCCTTCAGGAAACAACTCAATATTTAGAGCAGAAGTAGCGCTGGGATGAAAGACAAAAACTGCCATGGTTTTTCATTGATTCTGAACTATCTGCTCTGATTTATTGAACACTCGGACACTGCAGCTGTAGTGGTTCTGTCAAGTCAATCACGTCCCAATTGCATTGGCAACTCAGGCTTTATGTGATTACATTTTCATCATCGCGAATCACGCTGTAATCAGGAGTGTTGCTCTATCAATGGTGTATTTAATTCAACGTTTAGGTCATTACCGTCATTTGAGTTTTAGATTTGAGTTTTAATGCTTCTCTTTCTCCAACTATATTCAAAGCCTTTGTTATTTTTTTATCACCTTGTCTATTTATTACCACACCAACTAAAAAAAACTACCAGGTTTAAACCAATCAAGCCTGACATTTTTATAACGCTGGCTTTGTTGAGTTTGGATGGAGTTACTGCATCTTTGTCCTGTTTTGCATTCCATCTGTCTCTCAGTGCACTCAGCCTAACACAACGTGCTTGTGTTTCACTTTGCAATGTGTCAAATACGGATTATAAAATTGCTATCCCGTGACTGCAGGGAGCGGTGGCGCGACGGTTAGCACACTGGAACCTGAGTTTGATTCCCAGCCGCAAGTTAACTGAAGTGGCGAGCGATATATTCTGAGCTGGTCCTCGGCCCCCCTTCACCAGCCTGCACTGACCAGCATAGCGAAGTATGGTCGAGCAAA